TTTTTTGTGTTCCCATATGAACGCATTACATATGGATTGTAGTGTTCTTATAAGTGTTTTTGGTGCTTGTAGAGGGAGCATTCTGAATATATACAGTATTTTTGGGAGTATCACCATTTTATACGCATTTATTCTGCCTAGCCAGGAGATGTGTGTTTGCGACCATTTGCGTGTTTCATTCTTGCATTGTTGTGGGAGTGTGAGGTAATTTACTTTTAATACTCCTGCTATGGTGGGTGCAATTTTTATGCCAAGGTAAGTGAGTGAGGTTGTCCTCCAATCGAAGAGGTATTTGTCTTTGAGCACAGCTGTGGTGGAGGAGGTGAGTTTGATGGGTAGTGCTTGCGTTTTGTCTTGGTTTAGACGGTAGTGTGATATGTCCCCGAACCTTTCCAAGGTCTTCAACAGGTGGGGCACTGATGTTTGAGGTTTTTCTAGTGTGATTAAGATATCGTCTGCAAATAGCGCTAGTTTGTATTCCTTGCCTAGGATTTTGACGCCTTGTATGCGTTCGTCATTTCTTATTTTTTGTGCTAGCGGTTCGAGGGATAGTATATATAGTAGGGGGGATAGGGGGCATCCCTGTCGTGTCCCATTGGATATATGGAAGGTGGCTGAGAGGAAGCCACCATGGGCCACTTTGGCCGCCGGTTTCACATATAGCGCCATGATCCCTTTGATAAATTCGTCTGGGAATCCGAATTTTTGTAATACTTTCTGCATATAGGCCCAATTGAGTCGGTCGAAGGCCTTCTCCGCATCAAGTGCCAGCAGGAGGCCTCCGGCCGACCCCCCCTCCATGGTAGCTAGTATGTTAAGGATTTTCCGCGTGTTATCGGAGCCTTGTCTCCCCTTGACGAACCCTGATTGATCGTTGTGTATTAGTTCGCTTATTATGACCGTGAGCCTGTTACTTAGTATTTTCGCGTATAATTTGGCATCCCCATTTAGAAGGGAGATGGGTCTGAAGTTTTTGCAGGTGGTGGGTGGTTTGCCTGGTTTGGGTAATGTCGAGATGTGAGCTAACAGTAGTTCCTCTGGCAAGACTCCCGTGTCTAAACTGTGTTGGTATAGGTTTAGGAGGTGGGGGAGTAGTAGTTTGGAGAATTCTTTATAATATCTATTTGGTAGGCCATCTGGTCCTGGGGATTTGTGTGATGGTAAGTCAGCTATGGCTTTAGATATTTCTTCATGGGATATTGGCTGTTTGAGTTGTTTTACTTTATCTGATGACAGGGATGGGAGGTGAACAGTTGCTAAAAAATTGTCAATATCTGCAAGCGTAGGGACTTTCGTTCCCCCGTCTTCACTCAGGTTATACAGTTTGTGATAATATGTGGAGAATTCGTTTACAATTTTGTTCGGATCACTAACTTTCTGACCAGTATTTGTGTTTAGGAAGGTAATCCTGGAGGCGACTGATCTTTGTTTGAGCTGTGAGGCTAGTTTTGCTCCTGCTCTGTTGCCATAGGCAAAGTACCTGTGTTTGTATTTTTGTAGCAGGTATGTGGTTTTGGCCAGTTCAAAGTTTTGTAATTTAGTGTGAGCTTGCAGGAGAGCTGTTTTGGTCATGGCTGATGGTGAGCATTTGTTTCTATGTGTTAGTGCCGTTATTTCTTGGATGATTTCTAGGTATTGAGCTTGGCGTACTTTTTTGGCTTGACTTGCATGTTTTATAAAACTACCCCTGATCACCGCTTTGTGTGCTAACCATACAGAATTTGGCGATGTGTCGGGGCGAACATTTTCTGTGAAGTAGTTTTGGAGGTCTGTTCTGATTTGGGATACTATGCTTGGATCTTGGAGTAGGGATTCGTTTAGTCTCCAGGCAGTGTGGCCAGGGGAGGGGTATTGCTCAGATATGGTCAGAGTGATGGGGGCATGGTCTGACCATGATATGATACCAATTTCTGCACTTATCATTCTCTCTAGTGATGTGTTCTTTATTAAAAATCTGTCAATTCTGGAATAACTATTGTGTGCAGCGGTATAGCATGTGTAATCGATTTCAGCTGGGTGGGAAATTCTCCATGGGTCTACAAAGTTATGTGTCGTTAGTATTCTGCGGATGTTGGAGGTTTGTGTGTGTCTCTGTTTTGAAGTGGATATGGTTACCGTTCTCGCGGCTGAGGAGTCCATATTGATGTCTAGGAGAAAGTTAGTGTCGCCTCCAATGATTACCTCCCCAAAGCTGTACATTGACAGGAGAGAGAACATGTTAGCTACAAATACTTGTTGATTTTCATTATGGCAATAGACATTTATCAATGTATACGGTTGATTGTTCATACGACATTGTAAGATAAGGTATCTACCTTTTTTGTCACTTATTTTTCGTACAAGTTCAAAAACAACATTCTTATTGATTATTATCGATACCCCTCTTTTTTTTTGTGGTAGCACGTGTGGTAGTCTACTGGAAACCACGCGGAGTTGAACCTGGGTTTGGATCTCCACTGAAAGTGGGTTTCCTGAAAAAATGCCACCTGTGCTCCTTGTTTCTTGGCCTCCTGGAGGGCTAATCTACGTTTGTTAGGCGAATTTAAGCCTTTGGCGTTTAGCGAGAGAAATTTTAGTGGCATGGTACAGTTTTCCTTCACGTGTTATGGTTTGATCACCGACTAGTTCAGTTGGTGTGGTGGGACAAGCACAGGTTTGTTGGGATGTTACCTAAACTGTGGGATGGTGACCTGACGGTCAATCGAGGGGGATTGGGGGGGGGGGTGAACTATGTACAATTGCCCGTCAGCCTCTCCGGCTTAGTGCAAAGGTATGCAGACGGGTACGTGGGGGCTTACCTAGTAAGCCTTACGTGGGGGTCGGTGGTTTTTAAGTAGGTAAGTTGTGATAACCAGTGTCCACCTCGTATAGAAGGCGGAGATTAGGGAAGAGGAGGTAAAGAAAAAGTGAGAAAGAAAAGTTACAATAATAAAAACAGGAACATATAAAAAGGAAGCAGGTATAAAGCTAAAATAGCAGTTATACAGTTAACAGTGGTCTAACGCCCACCGTGGGCTCCTTTTTTTTTTTTGTCATTATTGCGTCAGAGGTGTGCCATATATATCAGCCCCTTCTTACATGCAGTCAACCTGTTAAACATGAAACCAAATTAAGTATTAAAGTTACGTGTCCATGTGTGCAGATGGAGAGGGTTTAGGGATGAGGATTTCTTCGGCTTTGAGGGGTTGTCGTGATCCATGGAACGTGTTGCCAGTCTCTCGTCACTTTACGGGGTGGTGGCATGTCCGAATTTCTTGGGTCAGTTGTTGGGACAGGAATGTTCCATTCACCCAGAATTTTCCTTCCTTCTTCTGGCGTCAGAATTGCTCGATCTATTCCATTTCTCTTGATGATTAGTTTTGTAGGGAATCCCCATTTATACAATATGTTTGCGTTTCGGAGAGCCGTTGTTATAGGTGCAAATGATCTTCTTTTAAACATGGTGGCCGCTGATAGGTCTATGAACAACTTAAGGTCTGTGTATCCGTCCGGAAGGGGTATATTCAGCCTGGCGGCCTGCATTATTTGATCTTTGGCCGAGAAGTAGTGGATTCTAGTGATAACATCTCGGGGAATGGTAGCTGCCAGATATCGTGGTTTGGGCAGTCTGTGCGTTCTGTCAAGTCTTAGGTCGGCTTCAGTTAGCGTTGGGACCATAGATTTAAACAGCTTCTGTACATATTGTGGGAGGTCTTGTGGTCCCACATTTTCGGATATTCCACGGATCCTAATGTTGTTCCTTCTATCTCGGTCCTCATTATCTGCAATCTTCCCCTCTAAGTATTTGACCTTATTTTCCAGCGCTACATGCGCCTCTGCTAGGTCATTGTGTGCTTCCAACAGGCCCTCTGTTTTTTCTTCCAAGTGTGCTGTCCTGTCCCCCAGTGCCTGGATGTCAGTTCTTATATCAGATGCCATTTTTTGTATATCAGAGCATAGGGCTGCTTTAAGCCTTTCTAGCATTGTGCTTATTGATGCATCTGTGGCAGGAGTCATGTCTGTGCTTTGAAAGCTGTTTTGGCTGTCTCCTACCTCAGGTTCTAGTGTGGGGGATCCTGTGTCTCTGACGCCATCTTGGATCTGCAGAGGGGTTGCTTGTTGCACATTCAGGTGCGATTCGATCGTTTTTTGTTTCATTTTTTTCGATATTTTTGTTGTCATCTTGTTCTGTGTGATGTTAGTGCCTGGTAGGGCCGTTTTTGGTGGCTGGTTTGCTGGGGAATCACGCTGTTAAGCCCACGGTGTGGCGGAGCTCACCGCTTATGCGACCTCTTCCATGCGGTCCGAAGCCACGCCCCCAATGTGTGTCTTTATTAAAGGGAAACTGTAGTACCAGGTAAACAAAGTTGCTCCCTATAGTGCCCTCCTGTGGTGCAGAATGGGGTTAAAAACATCTTCTGTCACTTACCTTAGTCCAGCGCCGATATCCCTCTGTGTCTGCCTTTGCTGGTAGACAACCACTTGAGGTGTAGTTAACCCATAACAGGTCATTATTGCAGTTAATTAAAAACTGCAATAATTACCTTTCCAGGGTTAAGGGACCTGGGAATATGCACCCAGGCCCTTTCAATGAGCTGAGGTGGTCTGGGTGCCTAGTGCCCTTTTTAAGCCATCAATCACAAACAGTGCTAGTCTTATTGTTTTGGATATACTTTTGATCCTTTGGAGCAAAGACCTTGACCAGCGGCACAATTACGAAAATTTGGAGGTCAGACAGTGACACTCCTACATATTTAGTTTAACATTATAGAACAGTTGAAACATGGGCTAATATGGACAGTGCAGTGGTTGATAGCAGAAATAAGTAATTGCCAATACATAATTTAAGATAAAGAAAAGTGCCATAATAGCCGTTAACTTTTTGTTTCAGAAGCTGTCTGGGTAGCATACTATGAAGTTGACGCTTTGCATTGACAAATTATGTATAGAAACAATCAGCAGTGGCTGGAATATAAAATTAAAGGGCAATGTGACAATTTACTAAATTAATTACACACAAAAACAGAAAACAAAAATGTTTATTTCTGGTCCATAAATCAATCAGTCATGGAGACAATAAATAAAATCTGTATAAAAATTGCATATTACACATATATACAGATTAGCAACTGAGTAACTTAGAACATTATTCAATAATATCACAATAATCCACTAAGGATTGGTAACTTGCTTGTACAACTTTGGTTAACAGATAATTATTCTGATTTGCAGTAGAACTAAACATTGATGTTTATCCTTATACCATTCGATTACCACATGGTAACAGGGCTGGGGAATAGGCTGTGTACATCACGTTGTCGGCAATTTGTACAGAAGGTTCACAGACAGGCTCATAATCACAAACACCCCAATATGGGGCCAGAGCAGAGAATGTTATTTAAAACCATACATATATATTTCATACCATACTGTATTTGGAGTACGGTTAAAAATGCTTAATATTTAGTTGCCTGATTTGCTTTTCATTTACCACTTTAGGAAAATAGATCTAAGATATAATCAATGCATTTGTTACAGCATCTCTTAGAACGTGACTGAAGATCCTGATTAATCTCCGCTATTATATAGTCTTAACAACATATCAAACTGTGTCGTTTGCAGGAAATAGAATGATGACAAAACTGGTCCAGCCTCAAAAATGAACAAATCCAATATAGCAATCAAAAGGTTAGCTTGGTACTTACACAGAGAGAGAGAGAGAGAGCTTTCTAACAATATAAAATGCCGATAATAGATTTTTGTATAGACCTGAGGATGCTTTTCCTTGCTAATAAAAGTGATAATTTAAGTTTGTGCCTTAATTAAAGAGACACTCCAGGCTTCAAAAGCTCTTTACCTTGCTGCAAAGCTTCATGTGTGAAGTGTGTCCTATTTTTTTTTTTTTTTCATTTTGCAAAAAGTGCACATTTCAATAGAAATTTACACTTTTATAAATTATACGTTAGTGGGAGGGTAGCAACATCTTTTAGTTGTTCTCAGGGATCTACTACCAGAAAGAAGAGAATCTGGCTTGGGTACTTCCAGCTGCCTATTCACATCCATACTAGCGTTACAAATCCTATTTGTTCATTTACTTTTATAAATAAACCTGGTTACAGCCCCTTGGTTTTCAAGCAAACAACAGGTCCTCTTACTTCCTGGTTTGGTTAGCTCAGTGGAGCTAAACTAGAGAGAGCATCTTGCAAAGACTTCTCACTGAGCAGCATTAAGAAGTCTGAATGGACAGGGGAAAAAGGGGAGGGACTGCAAAGGCAGAACTTCAGAAACTGTTGAGCTTTGTGGAACATTAGCTTTTTGATCCATGGAGAGATCTGACTGCCATGCTGGGGTCAAGAAGGATTTTTTTTTTCCTAGTTTGTTGCAAAATTTTAAGCTCTTCAAACTGGGTTATTTGCTTTCTTTTGGATCAACAGCAAAAATAAAACGTGAGAAAGGCTGAACTTGATATAGCTTAATGAAAAAAATATGCATAACTAAATGCATGCAATGTTTTAATGGGTATATCTACGAAACTGTTTTTTATTTGCTTGTTTTGTATTTGGGCAGTGAAGTGTCCCTTTGAGCCATAAAATAGCAGTTAACCTGACCCTGTATTTAGAAACAGGTTACATGTAGGGTTCTATGCAACAAGCCATTCTGGAGCACCATTAAGACAATTGAGACCAATTAAATGTCTTCACCACACAAAAGCTGCCCTTTCACGTAGCATGCGAACTCCAAATCTCTGCCATTCTTGTTGGTAGATCCACAACTCCTGTGTGGTGTCAAGGCATGAGAGAACGGCGCCTCCTTTCCATGCAAGTAACCTGGGGTCTGTATCCTGCAGGACATAATGAACATTTTAGGCTTAGGACAGACTCATTGTTTCAAATAGATAGTAAAACAAAAATGACGGTGTCTTAAATAAAAAAAAAAACATGACATTTTAGTCAAACCTCAGATGTCCCTTGAGGACAGAGGCAATTGTATATGTTCTGATCAAAACAAAACTTAGAATTTGACTATATGTCTGTTCAACCATAATTCATCTCTGTCATATTAAGTGCACCCACAAAAACTTTTTACAGGCATTGGGGGACTGCCTGACATCCCAGGCAGACAGAGCTGTGGACAGGCATTCCGGCCATGTGATCGTGAGGAACTCGTGATCATATGGCCCGGGAGGTATGGATCCGCCTCGGTTGTCAGGCAGGCCCCAGGATCGCGACTGCTGGTGACATTCTATGCCACCCGCTGGTATTCAGGATGGCATAGAACGCCCGCTGTCCTTAACAAATTAAAGTAAATCTGGATTTATAAACAAAAAAAAATCAGTAATTCTGTTTAGTAAATATATATGGTCTCTTTTTACAAGCATCTACAAAACAAAAATCAGTAAAAATGTCATAAACAGATAACATAAGCAAGGTATTTTATGAAGGAAAAAATTAAAGCAATGTACCAGTTTAAACTTGTTACAAAAGAATATCACAAAAGCTGCAATAAATGGAATCTATAACTGTTCACAAAATAGCTGCTCCATGCAGGAGAGGATACAGCAAAAAAAGAAAAGATCTAGAAAGCTGGTACTTCATAGGAATAAAATTGAGAAAAACAAAAAACTCAAGCCCATTGAGTTCACCATTCCAGACAACTGCCCACACCCCGAACATCAGATTGTGCCACAAACCTGAAAAGAATTATAATTACTTCATTCCAAACTGGCTATTAAAGAACCAAACAACAAGCTGTTTCCATTTACACTGCATTAACATACCATACCCACAAACCAAAGAAAAAAGGAGTTACTTATGCACTATCCCAAATCCCTATGCACGAGGCCTTGACGTGGCAGGTGAGCTTACACTTAAATGGCCATTGGAATGATACTAAAAACCTCCAGTTATTTAAATAGGGATTTGGGATAATGTGCAATAAACTCTTTGAGCGCAGGATTTATTTTAGTATATTTGCATTTGCTTTTGTATTACACGGCCATGTTTGAATGCAGCGGGAAGGGAAGCAGCGGCACCACAGGCAGCAGTCGGAAGAGGAGCAACCCGAGAGCTGCTCCAGACATTCCAATCAACCCCAGCCAGCAGTAGGCTACCCTCCTGAAAACTAAAGGTATGTAAACAGGAGGGTGGCTTGGATTGGGCCTGCTGGGGTTAATAGGAATGTGGGGCATGTTAACAGGATACTTCTAACATGTATGTGTTTATGTGTATGTATGTCAGTGTGTGCGTGTGATAGTATGTGTGTCAGTATGTGTGTGTGTGTGTATCTGTGTGTCAGTATGTGTATATGTCAGGGTGTGTGCACGTGTCAGCATGTGTATGTGTGTTTATATTGTGTGTTAATGTGTAAGTATGTATGTAAAAAAACCACACAAAAAAACCAAAACCTTCATAAAAGCTTATCAGATTAAACTAGCTCCCAACTGATTCCTCTCTTGCAACTGTCATTAGTCTAATACTATCCTTACCTTTTGTGTCACTTTACCATACTTCATCTAGCATGTAAGCTCATTAAAGGACCACTATAGTGCCCTGAGGGTGCCCCCACCCTCATGGCCCCCCTCCCGTCAGGCTGAAGTGGGAGGAAGGGGGTTAAATCCCTTACCTTTCTCCAGCGCAGCACACGCATTCAGTCAGTCCATAGGAAAGCATTCTCAATGCTTTCCTATGGACGCTGGCGTCTTCTCACTGTGAAAATCAGTGAGAAGTGCAGAAGCGCCTCTAGCGGCTGGATTAACCCTAGTGTTCTCTGAAACTGCTATGTTTACAGCAGGCAGGGTTAACCCTAGATGGACCTGGCACCCAGATCACTTCATTAAGCTGAAGTGGTCTGGGTGCCTATAGTGGTCCTTTAAGCAAGGCCCTCAACCCCTCTGTTCCTGTGTGTCCAACTTGTCTGGTTACAACTACATGTTTGTTTGTCCACCCACTGTAAAGCGCTGCGAAATTTGTTGGCACTATATAAATTATAATTATGTATGTAGCAAGATGTGTTTATATGCATGCATCTAAGCAATCAAACACAACATGCAAACACACCCCTGCATTCAGACTCCAAAATTATATACAAATACGCCCCCTTTACTCAAACACCAATACTACACACAAATGTACGTTTGCATTTATGTTACATCCAAACACACTCCTGCAATTAAATGCAAACTTTACAAACACTCCCCTTTATTAATACAATAAAAATATATACAAGCTTCAGTCAAACACCAGCACTATACACAAAAGCACACCATTTAAAAGCAAACACTACATACAAGCATACCAATGCATGCAAACACACTACTGCATTCCATTGGCAGTAGTACATACTAATACCCCCTTACATGGACACATATACTCTATACAAAACATGCGCAATTCAAGTGCACGAATACAACCTGCAAGGATGGGCAAATGGTAGATGCCCAGCTGACATAACAACGCTGGAGTTGTATGACAGATGAGGAGCTACCTTTTGGCCACCCCTGGCAATAGAGGAGGGCCTGAAAAACTTTCTTGTACTATGGCCCTCTCTACATTAGTTTCACCACTGCTCCATGTGTTCTCTATTAAGGGTCAATAAGTATGTAGGGGCTTAGAAAACTACCACTCTCGGTCTCAGAGAATTTTCTTTTTACCTGAAGCTGAAGGAAGTAGGTTGAATTGTTAGCATAGGACTTACTTTGACATGGTAGGCGAGTTTACACTTAAATGGCCCTTGGAGAGATACTAAAAACGGACATTGCTGAGGCCCAAGAGTAGTGGGAGTTTGATTATGTATGTTAGATTATAAATAATGGCTACTCTCTGCATGAGACAACAAAATGGAAGAAAAGAAAAAAAAAGCCAAGACATTTTCTAAAACCTCAGAAAAGACTGCAATAAAAAAAGCATTTAAGCATGGTTAATTTCTCTGTATATAAAATCTAATTTAATAGGCAATAATATTAATGGAGGAAAATTTACCTTTGGCCTAGTGATAACCTCAACATTTTCCACAACTCTCCTAAATGACGGAGGCATTTTGTTCAGTATTCGATGCTGCAGAAACTGTTGAGCTTTGTGGAACATTAGACCTCCTCCAACCACAAGGATGGAGCTATACATTTTCTTTTTGGTGTCATCCGATGCTGAAAAGAAACAGAATGCGTTCACAAGCTAACCCCAATCTGCAGTGAATAAAAACACAGTATATTGTAGCAATATTTGAACGATTTCATGTTCAACTATACATTACCATTCTATTTGAGAAAAGAGTCTCAGAAAGAATTATTAGAATGTACTTGTAAGGTTAATGTAGCCAGGCTTGACTTCTATTAATACATTTGTGTATTGTAAAATGTACTTTAAATGCACATTATTCATCACTGTGTTATATAGACATAGATATACAAGGAGAATTTTACTACATGTAATAAAAAAAAAACACAATGAATAAAGGGTCAGAGCCAATGGGAGAGATTGATCTGAAGTTTAATCAATCTGTCTTCTATTAAAGGAGCACGATAGGGTCAGGAACACAAACATGTATTCCTGACCCTATAGGGTTAAAACCACCATCTAGCCCCCCTGATCCCCTCATGCCTCCCTAAATATAGTAAATTCTTACTTGTATTCAAGTCTACAGCTGCATGCTTTGTGCATGTTTCCTTCAGACCTGCCCACTGCCTGCTGACATAATTAGAAGTGGTAGCCTGATCCAATCACAATGCTTCCCTATAGGATTGGCTGAGACTGACAAAGGTGCAGATCAGTGGCAGAGCCAGCACAATTCAAACACAGCCCTGACCAATCAGCATCTCCTCAATTGAATCAATGAATCTCTATGAGGAATGTTCAGTGTCTGCATGCAGAGGGTGGATACACTGAATGTTTGGATGCATTTCAGGCAGCCATGGCCCAGGAAGGATCTCTAACAGCCATCTGAGGAGTGGCCAGTGAAGTTATCACTAGGCTGTAATGTAAAACAATGCATTTTCTCTGAAAAGACAGTGTTTACAGCAAAAAGCCTGAAGGTAATAATTCTACTCACCAGAACAAATTCAATAAGCTGTAGTTGTTCTGGTGACTATAGTGTGCCTTTAATTAGTATGACTAATTATAGTGTGTTGTAACTCTAGTGCTAACTAAAGATTACATTGCTCGTCATAAATGTGTATTCCTGACCCTATAGTTAAAAAGCACTATCTAGCCCCCCTGGCTCCACCTAAATATAGTAAGAATCTTACTTTTATTTAGTCTGCTGGTGCTGACTCTGCCCCTGATCCACCTCCTTGGCTGACATCATCAGAAGTGGAGATCTCAGCCAATCACAATGCTTTCCCACCAAAAGCATTGAACGGTCTGAGATTTCCAAAGAAGGTGGGCTTGGGGCAGAGACAAATTTTACCATGGCCAATCATCATCTCCTCATAGTGATGTAGTGAATAAATCCATCTCTATGAGGAAAGTTCAGTGTCTCAACTAAGTTGTAGTTGTTCTGGTGACTGTAGTGTCCCTTTAAGGAATGTACGTCCTCAGTAATCTGAAAACAGAAAACCAGAGAGAACAATGATGTCACTTGATCCCTGAACTTTCACAGACTTTAGGCAGATTGGTCCTCAACCTGCTTCCAGGAATGGAAACTAGCTGAGAATTTTGCATGGAGTAACATCTGAGAAAAGCAAGTAATGACTAAAGACCACAAAAAGTGTTCAATTAAAAATAAAGATTGCTCTAGACTTACAACAAGGAAAAAAAAAACAATATAAAAAATGGATGTAATTTGTATCAGGGTGTCCTTATGGGGCAAATAAAAATGAAATTGTGATCTGTTTTCTTACCGCAGCAGTCAATACTGTGCAGAATTGCTTTATCCAGACCTAGTGCTTTCCCTTCAAACTGAGAGATTGCGGTTTTACGATTGTAAAATGCAGAGGATGACTCCTCTGCATCGTTGGCAGATGCCAAACTATCATTCTGAGCTGTTCCAAGCTCAGCTTCTTGCATGTGACTTCTGTCTGATGGGTCCAGACCTCTTGAATCATCAAACAAACTGGACTTTGGTCCTGCTTTCCGATCAGCTGCAGCTTTGGCAGACTGCAAATGAGAGACAAAAAATGTACAGAACACTGAGCATTAAACTGCTTGCAACGTTGCAAAGCAATAGCCACACTGTTGAACACAAAACAGAGATCCAATATTAGGAGATTTATTGAAGCAGGAGCAATGAATACTACCTGCAGAGTTTTTACAAATTGAGGAAGTGGAGTCTGGAAAGGAATGTAGAAAGAAGTGGTAAATACACAAACAGCGAAAGATGTTCAAATTATTTTAGAGGTTACAGATTTCTGTATAGCAGAATATATATATATATATATATATATATATATATATATATATACACACACACACACACACACGTCAAATATTTGTATTAATGTTTTAAAATAATATCATACAACATTGGTGTGTATATAATGACTTATGAACCATTGTCTAAAATATATATAAGTAATGTATTAGAATCTGTGACAATGGATTGGCTCAATTACTGTTTGAGGAGGTAAATATATTGCAAAAGTACCAATTGTAGTTGTTAAAAACTCTAGCACAAAATATGTTCCACCTCTAGGCAGAATGTGTAGTACCTGGTCCTGTTTGCTTTGTGTTGTCAGCAGGTAATGCTCATCATGTGGATCCTCTGCATCTCCTTGGGATCTTTGTTGCAAACAGGTCATTTTCTGTCCAGTGATCCCAAATGTAGCCGGATAAAAGAGTGCCATTGGGGCCTGATTGGTGAAAGAACCAACATTTTACATAGCCTGCAGTGTATGATTTTTATTTATAAAGTGCCAACCAATTCACCAGCGCTGTACAATATATGGATAATAAGCATTAGCAACAGCTGATCACTCTTAGCCAGTGAGCTAATCCCTGCAGTGCAGTGCTTACCTTATACACAGAATGTCTAAATCTCTGGCATTAGTATTGGCGGTGAGGAGCAGATCACAGGTAAGAACACCACTCCTGGCACCATATCCAGTACAGTGTGCTGTAGTGATTATGGTGCTTGGAGTGTTCCTTTAACCCCTTAAAGACACATGACGGACATATTCCGTCATGATTCCATTTTATTCCAGAAGTCTTGTCCTTAAGGGGTTAACAACCGACCAAGTTTATGTTGGCAAGTAGGACATTTACTTGTATAAGAGGCCTTCCCATTCAACAAAGTTTGATATTTAGTGAAAAATAGAAGGCTGTCAAATGAATAATATAATTCGAGATATAGGTAACCGTTGATAAAGTGCTCCCACTTTCCCCAAAACATTCCCTTCAATAAGAATTAACAGCTAGATACCTGAAGCTTTTCATCTCCCAGTCGGAGCTGGTAGAGTAAGGCCGGGGCATCTGGATGGCGAACCTGAAATTCATGATCCTGAAGGCCACAAACATCCTACAAAGATAAACAGTGCTTATTGAATGCTTAATATTAACCCTGACCAAACATCGTAAACTAGTGAACATGTAACATGGCAAGTTATTCAAGAATAAAAAAATAAAAAAAAATAAAAAAAATCTATATATTGTTAAATATATAGCTTTTGGCTGCCTTACAGTGTTGGCAGTGTTCGCTTAAAAGATCCACCTTGTGGAATATGTTCTAGTGTTATTTGAAAAACCCACTTTGAGAATTATATACTGTGGCAGGGTCAGAGAGGCTTTCTATGTAAGTAATCCATTGGAGTGCTCTCTATTCCCAGCATGATAGGGTTAATTGGTGGAAGTCAGCCCTTTCAGGTGAAAGTAATTAACCTGCACTTGTGTTTTAAAAGGTCAGCCTCTGAAGGCATCAGGGAGCCTAACAGCTGGGAGAAAGGAGGCAGTTAAGCCAAAACTTTAAAGGAAAAGATACTTAAAGTGCTGTGTTTAAACTGTTTAAAACTGGGAACTGGATTAGCTGGCCAGTTGGATAGTTAGAACTGGATTAGCTGGCCAGTTGGATAGTTAGGAATACTGTTGTTTAGTAAGTATCCAATTTGTAGTAGGATTTATTTTCTTTTTGTTTTATTTATTTCTGTGAGGCACAGCATTGTATGCCCTGTTAAAAGTGCAAATAAACTGCAATACTATTTCACCCTGACGCTTGCATTTAAAGTCTATTATCAAGAGCGCGGCCATCCTGCCACAATACTTAAACAATTATTTTTAAATGAGCGGTTATTGGCTCACTTCCAATATTATCCCCTTAAGGACACAACTTCTGGAATAAAAGGGAATCATGACAGAATATTTCCGTCATGTGTCCTTAAGGGGTTAAAGACATCAAATGGGATCTAAATTATAGAGAGGCAGATGTTTTTGTATGTGACAGCCACTTTCATAGCAATGTGAAATGCATAAAGCTCTTCATTTTCACTTTAAGAATATGTAATTATTCTGACCTGATCGAGGTGTGCAAAGGTCTCCTTCAGATGTTGGAGGAGGAGGCAGTCCAGTTTGTTGGAGATCTGGCATTCTCTGTAGGGAAACCCTGCTCTTTGCATCAGCCAGAATAGACACCGTGTGACATCAGAGCCACCATAAGCCAAACACAGCCTGAAACAAAATGGTGAAAGATTTGCTGTAGTTTAGAAGTGTGACGTGACTAATGCTATAAATGTGAGAATAACCAATGCAGGATATTGAAAACTGTTTTTTTGTTTTAAATTATTTTTGTACCAAACGAAACACATGGAGGATATGAAATTGTGACTATTTAATGTTTCTCGTCGATGTGGAAAATTAATTTCTAAGAATGTATAAGTGTCTAAGAAGACTAATTTGTAGTAGGAAGTAACCAAAGGAAAGGGGGGAGAAATCCTTGCACAATAACCTGGTATTCCGATGGGATATCCCGTCCTCCACACAGCACACACTGGTCTTCTGATCCCCAATATCAACAACACAAGCACTGCTCAGGCCACTTCCAAATGCTGCACAAACAGATTCCTGATGGACTATAATACCTGGAACACCACATATAAATATAGATAGGTGTCAAAAAGATTGTGGTGAGGAAAACACAATAAAAATTGCCACAATACAGTTCGAAAAATAACTTGTGTATCACTTGCATATATCAGGTTGGACTTTGAAGAGTTCTCCATGGGCACAGTTCCTAGCTTCCTATCCCAGCCTGCATTAAAGGGATACTATAGTGCTAGGGATACATTAAAGTTGTATTGCTAGCACTATAGTGTACCTTTAATATGGGAATTATATATGCAAACAGCAAAGAGGCAGTTTCACTCACTTCTTCACCAAACTATAAACCAAAAGGTAGGCAAGCTTCGGCACTCCAGATATTGTAAACTACAGCTCCCTTAATGCCCTTACAGCTTTAATGATAGCAAAGCATCAGGGGGGATTCAGTTCACAACATCTGGAGTGCTGAAGGTTGCCTATCCCTGCTGGAAACCAAAAACATGAATATGCAACATGCAAATCGTCTGTTTTTTTGCTTTCGAACAGGGTCTCATACCTGAAAATCCCAGCTTCATTACGACCATAGTCACCATTTCTTTCACGTGTTGCCGGTTATATATATCCGGGATCAGTAATATGCACCTGTAATACTAGTACAAACAAATCAAGGGTTATCCTAGTCTCCAAAATAATTAAAAGTTTTTAGTGAAAAACAGGATGTAAAAGATCTACAATATTCAGAGGACAAATTAATAAACGAATGTATAGAACATACTATCCTATAGTACATTTAAAAAGGTTTTATGGTGCATGTCAGAGACTTTATTCTGATTAATTGCAAATTTATAAAATCCCCATGAAAATCAATTAACTGTTTCTTGATGGCTGCTCCACTTTTAACACATACACACACTAAAGGTCAATCAGTAGACAAATAGAGAAAGCAGGACACTATAAGCCTCTCATTTGCAGTGCTCCCATACAGTAAGCACTTTATCCCAAACAGAGTACCCTACAGCACAGATACTTCCCATACACTGGCATCAAAAAAAACAAAAACAAAAAACAACCAAAACATAACTCCCATACCTTCAGATCTTTTAATTGGATTTCTAATAGTTTCTGGATCACGTGTGACCAGATGGTTTCCAGATCAGTAATTACTGCAGAGAGAGAGCCTCCAGGTCCAGAGTGGATATTAAGCTGGCCTTTTCGGATGGGATAATGAATATTATAGCAGTCTGCAGGTTTCACATAGAGTGCCTAAAACAATACAGAGCTCAGAAGTAACATCGTGAAATAAAAGAGAAAATTTACTTTATAAATTGCAAAATCCTGAGTAATACAGGAATGGTCAGAGAATATTTTCCCAACAATTCTATTGAATTTTGATCTTTACAGAGTTTGCAGCTATACGTTATGGTAGCAAAATGGCTGCCAAAACATACAGATTTGTAAAATTTTATTGCCTGATTATCTTAACGAATTTAAATTATTCCAGAATAAAAATGACTCTTGCTTTGCACAAGAGACCCTTCAAGGAATTAATTAAGGAACATTTACAGGATTCTGAGAACACTATATGTTGTAGACCACAGCTGGGTTGAAGCATCAGAGGAGAACCTCCAATGAAGATATGGAGTTTGTAAGTTCTTAATATGAATTTTCATTGTGCACTTTCCCAGTGTGCTGGGGCAGAGCTCGAAAGAATTGAAAAGATGCCAGACTTAAGGCGGCCCTGACAACCCCCCAAAATGGAGTATATCATAAAGACAACATCCTCATAAAATACACACATTAACAGCTTTGGAATTTTACTGAAATTCCAATACAGTAAAAACTGATCAAAAGACAAAGTAGAGGCGGCTTTGTCCTGTGCATTTTGTGTACTACTTTCTCCGAACTACAACATAGATATGAAAACAATGTGACATGAGGATTACCATGTACAGTAGCTTTGACAGCAGAGCAGCTTATCCTAATGGCATCTACAGAGCGGCTTACTAGATAACCAATCATTGCCCCTGATTTCAGAAAATTTGGACTGTAACCCAGACACTCCATCTAACTGGCTCTGATGGACTTTTTTCATCTAGTTGGCCTCAACATTTCTCCTCCAAGAGGAGCAGAAGATCAAAAAGAAAAGAAAATAAGTACAGGTGTGTAGCTTTAGTTAATTAGGACTGTAAGCTATAAGCAGGTGCAGCACCTACCACGTACTATAAACCTGTTATAAGCTGGAAATTCATTTGGACTACGCAAACAAACAAACGTTTGTTCTTCAGCAAGAGTTTATTAAAGGAGAACAACTATGTGAACAACTATGTTCAGGATTAGCACAGTTAAAGAAACATTCCATTGACTTTTATTCTAGTAAATAATCCCATTCTTTTCTTTGTGGGTATATGAAAGAAAATATTTGGAAAAGCTGCAGATCTACTGTATGAAGCATTTTGTAAGCCATCCCCTCTTTCCCGAACACAGACTTACAATCTCTCCTGGACTCCAGACACATAAAGCACTTCAGGAAGCCAAAGTGATTTGTGTGTCTGGAGGGTTCCTTTAAAATGGATGAAATTAAGAAAATAATTATACATATACATACACATAAACACAAAATTACCTCTTCTCCAACAAGATATTCTGGTCTATGTGAAGTGTTAGTCCATTTTACACCTGAACTGTGATCCAATATAGCGGGTCGTATCTGTCTATTGTAAGCTCTGGCCTGGAAAATAAATATATATTAAAAAAAGTTAAACAGCATGCCAAAGGTTATTTGGGTTAAGATCAACATAAATAACTGCTAATTAATTCCATTAAACAGGAACAGCACATAAGTATCCAAAGCAGGTGGTCACATTCTTTTAAGATATATCCGAAAAGGTGACTGGACTAAAGATACCCAGGTAAGTGATAAATAGTTTAAAAGTGGTTTGCCTACATGGGATGGTACCATGGCACTTCTGAGACCATTACCACTACAGCAGGCAATATTGGTTCTAATGTCTTAACTGTTCTTTAAATATATCAAGACTCCCATTTCAAATTACATGCGCAAGCTTGTTTTCCAATGATATTTGACAATCTGGAGGCACTCAATTTGTTACGTGTATTCTGAACTGATGCCACAATTCTCTGGGTATACAGTTACGTATTTCACAACAATTCCACTTATTGTATACACTTAGTATAGATGTCAGCAGATAACAGCATTAGAGGGAGCTCTATTACCAGTATAGTCAAGATGTGATAGTGAATACAGCTTAAACTTTTTCAATTTTAACTGTAAGAGAGCCCATTAGAGGAGGGTTGGGAGGTTGTATACATTATGCACATTTTACAAAGTACTTAGTTGGGCAGAGAAATGAGTAAAGCTTCTTACTCAGATATAAAAAAACTGAAAGGTTAGATTTATAGAGATCAATTAAAACATCTATTGCCCTATGTGGCGGAACCAGCCTTACCACTGGGCATTGGAGAAGACTGATTGCCAGCCTCCTGCCCTGTGACTATGGCCCCATGTTGAAATGCTTAATTTTCCCCTGCAAAGACCTGAAAGCCGGGTCATTCGGTACTTTCCCTATGTGAGCAGTGTTACCCCAGATAGCTATGCCATGGAGCCCATTCATATAACGAAAGACTATGTGAAAGACTTTGGCTCCATGGCAATTGAACTGTATGTATGTGATCTGAGTGCCATTCAGTAATAATGTGCGCTCAGATCTAAGCTATCCGGGGATATGTTGAATGTACCTGTTTTATGCAATAGCTGCACAGTTAAATATTTTTATGTATTTTACTACCATGTGGCTAATGGAATTTTGCCTCTGTCCTTGGAGATAATTGGATTACTTCCCAATTATCTCAAGGATAGAAGACTCTGTGAAACTGGTTTTGGCAAGAAAAGCCATGCTTCATTTGGTCACAAAGGATGTCGATCTAACTTTTGACCCACTGGACCAATTTGTATGATTTTGACGTATGTTGGTATTTGGAGTATGCGGATTCTGAAAATTTATGTGAATGTGATGCATACTTTTAAAGTTATGAATATTGTGTAAAACTGTATTTTCCTGCCTGTGATAATTATATTTAACCCATTGTGTAAGGTAATTGTATCACAGGCAGAGGGGAGGATTTTGTGTGGGAGTGTCTGAGTGTATTGTACGTGTTTATTGGTTGTTTTACAAAACCCTGTGGGTGGTACAAATGTGTATATAAGAACAATAAACCCACAGCTCTGTCAGTTCTACTTCACCCTCAATTTGGAGTTCCGTATCTTATTGGTGGAATCTGCTACAAGGGATTGCTATGCTCTGCATATTCCCTTGCTATAATCACTAAGTTCTTTTAAGAGCTTGTTCCTGTTTTGCTCGCTGAAGGAGTCTACGGTGGTTATGGTGTCTGCTGGAGTGCTTGGAGCCCTCAGGAAGCGCTAGAAGCATCCTTCAATGGAGGTACCCAGTCGGGGTGCCAGGTGATCCGTTACACCCTACATCTTAAAAAAGTACACCCTTGTAATTCATGGGGTTCTGATATTTTTTGGTTACCTGCTCAGGGAGGACAGGTATTCGTCTTGTCCCATTGGACATCTTCTTGGACCAGATGGCCTGATCCACCATTTTAAGGCCATTTTGTCTTTGCTCGTTGCCTTCTTGTTTCTTGTGTCAATACATGAAAAAAAAAAAAATGATGATGATGAAATCAAACAGGAAAAAAACTGGACTGACATGTTTTTTTAAAGCTATGGCACCATTACACTTTGGAACATGTTTCAGTAAAAACACAGTTAAAGCAAACAAGTCTTTTCTGAGAAAGTGACCACACAACACTAAATGTGAGGAAAGGTGTTGTACAGTTGCACAATATGAGGGTCCAGAGCCCATTTATCCCCTGTTAGGGCTGATAAGGTCGAAACATGTACCTTGGTATTAAACTCAAGCCTTAATCCAAGCCACCTTGAAGAAATTAGAGAATATGTTTGTGTTCCTGACCCTATAGTGTTCCTTTAAAGAGTTGCCTTATTTAAACTTAATTTTGCCAAACATTATTCATATTGAAGCAATTACCTGCAAGATTATCTTTGCTCGTGCATTATCATTTTAGAATTTTATTACAACAGAAGATTGCCAAAGCAAAATTGCTTTATTTCAATATTATTTTCTTAAAGTGACAGTATCATCTCTTTATTCACCTGCGGTTGAGTTCCAAATAACTTTTCCACAAGTATTACACATAGCACATTTTGAAATTCCAAGAATGTGCTTTGGCATCCGTTCCCTCCGCCACATGGTGAAAAGATCGAGAGAACTTTTCCACCTGGCGATTCTCTACTGTGGTCATAGGTCCACCTCTGGACTCCCCTACCTATGGATAATCTTCTGGAATGTTTGGTGGCAAATACCCAATTTCTCCGGGTATCTTTTTTTCCTGCAGAGGAAATCACCGATGGTATTCTTTGACCCTGTGATATAAATGGCTGATATATCTTCTAGGTGAAGTTGGGCCTAGTCCATCAGAGAATAATTGGTCTTCATGAGACGGGAGCTCCTTGATTCTCCTGGATGCAGAACCTCAGAAACTTTTGGCGATCTTGGAATATAGAAGTAAGTGTCTCTGAGGTGTACCAAAATCATCCAATCGTTTAGGCAGACTGCAATTTATCTAGAGGTTACGGGTTACATTTTTAAATTTCTTTGTTATAAGGTCTTGTTGAGATCATGAACAATTGGGACTGGTCTCCATATCCCTTGGAATTTTTCCTCCTGTGGAACTATGTGCGTCTATTACAGGAGACTTTTGCAATCTCCAGGAGATGTTTCAAGTGAAGAAAACATGGTTTTGGAAATGGTTGGAAGCATATGTTATATCCCTCTAACACCGTTCTGACCACCCAGGAGTCTTGAATCTGTGAGACTCAAATTTTCTAAAATGGAAGAAGTCTGACTCCTATTATTGAAGGTTGAATCTCCTGTCCATCATAATTTCTTATTTAGTGTGGGATCTTCCCACTCTGCCAGCTGACTGGTTGTACCTCTACGTATCAACAGGTTTATTTTCCTGGTTTGCATTGCTTTGCATCTCGAAATAGGTATGATGTCGCTGTCTTTTTTCCAAAGGAAGCAAAGCCATCTTTCCTTCTGCCACCAGTTTTATACATTTGTCAAGATGTTCTCCGAACAAAATTTGCCCCATTAAGGTAATGCACAAAAAAACCTTTTTTTTTCGGAAGCGGTATCTGCTTCCCATCCCATCCATTTCTAGTGGCTACTGTAAGGACCATGGATCTTGAACACTAAATCCACAGAATATGTAGCAATGAAATCAGTTCCTAGAAGTATATGCTTAATGAAATCCATGAGAGAATTTCTTGGAACACCTTCCTTGATATTTTTCTTCAAATCCAGTAACCACTCACTGTCTTGTGGCTCTACACACACTTTTGCTCCTTCTCAGAAAAGAATGGAGCATCGTCCTGCAGTCTGCCAGAAAACCCATGAAAGTCACATTTGAGAATATTAAATTGAGGGATGTATGTAGAAGGGGTCCACCTAGCTGCAGCAATATCCCTAAGAGGACTGTTTCCAGGTGGAGAGAGGATGGAATGCCACCTGGGTAAAAGAACCTTAACGGTACCTGGTGAGCCAAAAGATAAAAACAAGTGCTGCAACTGATATGGTCGGGAAATTAAATACTGTATACATATACATGCATTCTTTATATTAATACTCTCCCCTTCTAGCACCATTCGCTAGTTTTTTTTTCCCTCTCCCTTCCCCCACTCTGTGATCTTCACATAAGATATTTGAGCCCTCCCAAAAGTTTGTCATTAAAAAATTGTTAGTCCAATAAAAAAGGTATTACAAGATATAAATTGTATCTGTTTTTTACATATACATACACATAATAATTATTTGAAACACACTCACTACTAGTTTAACCACTCTGCTAAGTGCACTATGTAATATTAGGTTCTTACATTCAAACCATCTCTCACGAGCCACTGGTCACTGTAGGTGGGTTGTCCTGGTTGTTTATGACGACGAGCAATGACATGGGGAATTGCTGCCGGGTGGGTATCTGTAGCTCTTCCGATGCGCAGGGTGCTGGATCCAGGGTGTATCACCACAATGAAATCGCTCTGTATCTGCTACTCAGCAGAAAGACAAAAAGGAACAACATCAATTTTCACTGGACCCCTGGCATTACATTTAAACAAATGTGACAAATGATATCCATTACCACCAGCACCTCCCATTCTAGATAGTATGATTACAGCCCTCTTATCATCTGTCCACAGTTACTGAATGTGTATAATCTGTACAGCCACCCAAGTGCTCACAGTCTGGGTTTCCTATATAAACAGAACCCTTCAATGTGTGGCTAGGATAGTAATGAGGCATTTAGAACATTGTGCTTCTCCATAACCAATACATATATAACCTGTCCAGTGATATTCCTTCGGTCTGATTTCTCTCGCTTTCCAATGGAAGCACTATATTCAAGGTGCCCAGTACTGGACTCACAGACTGTGTAGGACTACAACTCCCATGATGCGGTGTTCTCCAACAGACTGTGTAGGACTACAACTCCCATGATGCGGTGTTCTCCAACAGACTGTGTAGGACTACAACTCCCATGATGCGGTGTTCTCCAACAGACTGTGTAGGACTACAACTCCCATGATGCGGTGTTCTCCAACAGACTGTGTAGGACTACAACTCCCATGATGCGGTGTTCTCCAACAGACTGTGTAGGACTACAACTCCCATGATGCGGTGTTCTCCAACAGACTGTGTAGGACTACAACTCCCATGATGCGGTGTTCTCCAACAGACTGTGTAGGACTACAACTCCCATGATGCGGTGTTCTCCAACAGACTGTGTAGGACTACAACTCCCATGATGCGGTGTTCTCCAACAGACTGTGTAGGACTACAACTCCCATGATGCGGTGTACTCCAACAGACTGTGTAGGACTACAACTCCCATGATGCGGTGTACTCCAACAGACTGTGTAGGACTACAACTCCCATGATGCGGTGTACTCCAACAGACTGTGTAGGACTACAACTCCCATGATGCGGTGTACTCCAACAGACTGTGTAGGACTACAACTCCCATGATGCGGTGTACTCCAACAGACTGTGTAGGACTACAACTCCCATGATGCGGTGTACTCCAACAGACTGTGTAGGACTACAACTCCCATGATGCTGTGTACTCCAACAGACTTGTAGGACTACAACTCCCATGATGCTGTGTACTCCAACAGACTGTGTAGGACTACAACTCCCATGATGCTGTGTACTCCAACAGACTGTGTAGCACTACAACTCCCATGATGCTGTGTACGACTACAACTCCCATGATGCTGTGTTCGCTAACAGACTGTGTAGCACTACAACTCCCATGATGCTGTGTACTCCAACAGACTGTGTAGGACTACAACTCCCATGATGCTGTGTACTCCAACAGACCGTGTAGGACTACAACTCCCATGATGCTGTGTTCTCCAACAGACCGTGTAGGACTACAACTCCCATGATGCTGTGTACTCCAACAGACCGTGTAGGACTACAACTCCCATGATGCTGTGTACTCCAACAGACCGTGTAGGACTACAACTCCCATGATGCTGTGTTCTCCAACAGACCGTGTAGGACTACAACTCCCATGATGCTGTGTACTCTAACAGACCGTGTAGGACTACAACTCCCATGATGCGGTGTACTCCAACAGACTGTGTAGGACTACAACTCCCATGATGCTGTGTTCTCCAACAGACCGTGTAGGACTACAACTCCCATGATGCTGTGTTCGCTAACAGACCGTGTAGGACTACAACTCCCATGATGCTGTGTACTCCAACAGACTGTGTAGGACTACAACTCCCATGATGCTGTGTACTCCAACAGACTGTGTAGGACTACAACTCCCATGATGCTGTGTTCGCTAACAGACTGTGTAGCACTACAACTCCCATGATGCTGTGTACTCCAACAGACTGTGTAGGACTACAACTCCCATGATGCTGTGTTCGCTAACAGACTGTGTAGCACTACAACTCCCATGATGCTGTGTACTCCAACAGACCGTGTAGGACTACAACTCCCATGATGCTGTGTACTCTAACAGACCGTGTAGGACTACAACTCCCATGATGCTGTGTTCTCTAACAGACTGTGTAGGACTACAACTCCCATGATGCTGTGTACTCCAACAGACTGTGTAGGACTACAACTCCCATGATGCTGTGTACTCCAACAGACTGTGTAGGACTACAACTCCCATGATGCTGTGTACTCTAACAGACTGTGTAGGACTACAACTCCCATGATGCTGTGTTCGCTAACAGACTGTGTAGGACTACAACTCCCATGATGGTGTGTACTCCAACAGACTGTGTAGGACTACAACTCCCATGATGCTGTGTACTCCAACAGACTGTGTAGGACTACAACTCCCATGATGCTGTGTACTCCAACAGACTGTGTAGGACTACAACTCCCATGATGCTGTGTTCTCTAACAGACTGTGTAGGACTACAACTCCCATGATGCTGTGTTCGCTAACAGACTGTGTAGGACTACAACTCCCATGATGCTGTGTACTCCAACAGACTGTGTAGGACTACAACTCCCATGATGCTGTGTACTCCAACAGACTGTGTAGGACTACAATTCCCATGATGCTGTGTTCGCTAACAGACTGTGTAGGACTACAACTCCCATGATGCTGTGTTCTCTAGCAGACTGTATGTCTCTATACTCACGTCCTGGAAGGGTTCCGGTATAGCGGCGGGTACTATGGGTCTCTTCACCCCGCGCTGCTCCCTCTCTCGCTCCTTCCCATTCTCCAGCTCCCCCTTCTCCGCCTGGGTCATAGCTAATGCTGCTGCTGGTGGTGGTGTGAACCCAATGCGCATGCGCAGACACAGCAGCCGGTGAGTGAGGACAACAAGAGGCTAACCCTCGAGTAAAGGGACAACCATGACCTAACCCGGAGCTTGTCACACATCACTTTGTTTACATGACGTCATAGCTCGTAGCTCCGCCCCCGGTGAAGCTCCAATGGGACGCGTCCACCTTACCTTACCGGACCCGGATATCCGGTGTGCAGACACTGACTCGGCTCCTGGAGCAGGCAGGATGGTTTATATATCTAACGGTGAGCGATACCGGCAGCACAGAGTGACTAATGCAGAGGGTCTCCGCCCGGCCATACCGGCTGTATCTATACACAGGCTCTCTATACACAGGCTCTCTATACACAGGCTCTCTATACACAGGCTGTCTATACAGGGTGTGTACAGGCTCTCTATACAGGGTGTGTACAGGCTCTCTATACAGGGTGTGTACAGGCTCTCTATACAGGGTGTGTACAGGCTCTCTATACAGTGTGTACAGGCTCTCTATACAGGGTGTGTACAGGCTCTCTATACAGGGTGTGTACAGGCTCTCTATACAGGGTGTGTACAGGCTCTCTATACAGAGTGTGTACAGGCTCTCTATACACAGGCTCTCTATACAGGGTGTGTACAGGCTCTCTATACACAGGGTGTGTACAGGCTCTCTATACACAGGCTCTCTATACAGGGTGTGTACAGGCTCTCTATACAGGGTGTGTACAGGCTCTCTATACAGGGTGTGTACAGGCTCTCTATACAGGGTGTGTACAGGCTCTCTATACAGGGTGTGTACATTCTCTATACAGGGTGTGTACAGGCTGTCTATACAGGGTGTGTACAGGCTGTCTATACAGGGTGTGTACAGGCTGTCTATACAGGGTGTGTACAGGCTGTCTATACAGGGTGTGTACAGGCTCTCTATACAGGGTGTGTACAGGCTCTCTATACAGGGTGTGTACAGGCTCTCTATACAGGGTGTGTACAGGCTCTCTATACAGGGTGTGTACAGGCTCTCTATACGGGGTGTGTACAGGCTCTCTATACGGGGTGTGTACAGGCTCTCTATACGGGGTGTGTACAGGCTCTCTATACGGGGTGTGTACTGGCTCTATACGGGGTGTGTACAGGATGTCTATACGGGGTGTGTACAGGATGTCTATACTGGGTGTGTACAGGCTGTCTATACAGGGTGTGTACAGGCTGTCTATACAGGGTGTGTACAGGCTGTCTATACAGGGTGTGTACAGGCTGTCTATACAGGGTGTGGGCCAGGCTGTCTATACAGAGTGTACAGGCTGCCCATATACAGAGTGTACAGGCTGTTCATACAGAGTGTGTACAGGCTCTCTATACGGGGTGTGTACAGGCTCTCTATACAGGGTGTGTACAGGCTCTCTATACAGGGTGTGTACAGGCTCTCTATACAGGGTGTGTACAGGCTCTCTATACGGGGTGTGTACAGGCTCTCTATACGGGGTGTGTACAGGCTCTATACGGGGTGTGTACAGGCTCTCTATACGGGGTGTGTACAGGCTCTCTATACAGGGTGTGTACAGGCTCTCTATACAGGGTGTGTACAGGCTCTCTATACAGGGTGTGTACATTCTCTATACAGGGTGTGTACAGGCTGTCTATACAGGGTGTGTACAGGCTGTCTATACAGGGTGTGTACAGGCTGTCTATACAGGGTGTGTACAGGCTGTCTATACAGGGTGTGTACAGGCTGTCTATACAGGGTGTGTACAGGCTGTCTATACAGGGTGTGTACAGGCTCTCTATACAGGGTGTGTACAGGCTCTCTATACAGGGTGTGTACAGGCTCTCTATACAGGGTGTGTACAGGCTCTCTATACAGGGTGTGTACAGGCTCTCTATACAGGGTGTGTACAGGCTCTCTATACAGGGTGTGTACAGGCTCTCTATACAGGGTGTGTACAGGCTCTCTATACAGGGTGTGTACAGGCTCTCTATACAGGGTGTGTACATTCTCTATACAGGGTGTGTACAGGCTGTCTATACAGGGTGTGTACAGGCTGTCTATACAGGGTGTGTACAGGCTGTCTATACAGGGTGTGTACAGGCTGTCTATACAGGGTGTGTACAGGCTGTCTATACAGGGTGTGTACAGGCTTCTATACAGGGTGTGTGCAGGCTGTCTATACAGGGTGTGTACAGGCTGTCTATACAGGGTGTGTGCAGGCTGTCTATACAGGGTGTGTGCAGGCTGTCTATACAGGGTGTGTGCAGGCTGTCTATACAGGGTGTGTGCAGGCTGTCTATACAGGGTGTGTGCAGGCTGTCTATACAGGGTGTGTGCAGGCTGTCTATACAGGGTGTGTACAGGCTGTCTATACAGGGTGTGTGCAGGCTCTCTATACAGGGTGTGTGCAGGCTCTCTATACAGGCTCTCTATACAGGGTGTGTGCAGGCTCTCTATACAGGGTGTGTACAGGCTGTCTATACAGGGTGTGTACAGGCTGTCTATACAGGGTGTGTGCAGGCTGTCTATACAGGGTGTGTGCAGGCTCTCTATACAGGGTGTGTGCAGGCTCTCTATACAGGCTCTCTATACGGGGTGTATGCAGGCTCTATACAGGGTGTGTGCAGGCTCTCTATACAGGGTGTGTACAGGCTCTCTATACGGGGTGTGTACAGGCTGTCTATACGGGGTGTGTACAGGCTGTCTATACGGGGTGTGTACAGGCTGTCTATACGGGGTGTGTACAGGCTGTCTATACGGGGTGTGTACAGGCTGTCTATACGGGGTGTGTACAGGCTGTCTATACGGGGTGTGTACAGGCTCTCTATACGGGGTGTGTACAGGCTCTCTATACGGGGTGTGTACAGGCTCTCTATACGGGGTGTGTACAGGCTCTCTATACGGGGTGTGTACTGGCTCTATACGGGGTGTGTACAGGATGTCTATACGGGGTGTGTACAGGATGTCTATACTGGGTGTGTACAGGCTGTCTATACAGGGTGTGTACAGGCTGTCTATACAGGGTGTGTACAGGCTGTCTATACAGGGTGTGTACAGGCTGTCTATACAGGGTGTGTACAGGCTCTCTGTACGGGGTGTGTGCAGGCTCTCTGTACGGGGTGTGTGCAGGCTCTCTGTACGGGGTGTGTGCAGGCTCTCTGTACGGGGTGTGTGCAGGCTCTCTGTACGGGGTGTGTGCAGGCTCTCTGTACGGGGTGTGTGCAGGCTCTCTGTACGGGGTGTGTGCAGGCTCTCTGTGGCAAAACTAGCCACTTAAGACTAGCCATATTGAATGCGTGTGTATCCCTGTTTCAGCTGGGAGAACCAAGTGTATTACTGTATGTGTCCTTCAGAAGAATGAGGGCGTTCGTATGCTTACAGTATGGAAAACCCAGCTTTCTTAATGTAGTTTCACAAACAGTGAGTTTCAACACTGTTCGTGAAACTAATAAACTACCGAATGGTCGACCACACACAAGAGGTCGTGTGGCGCCCATTAACCGATTGCAACATTGTTGCAATCGGTAGTTAAAGGCTTCCCTGGGTGGCCGCCGTTCGACTACCTACCACGCGGTGGTCGGCAATCTTGGATCCTTTGTTAGCCCAGCGGTGTTTTGCAGTCGAGCGTCTGGAACTAAAATCAGCTACTCGACCGCTCAAACAACGCTGGACTTCCAGGCCGTTCGGGAGCCCCGGTCGTTCGGTAGTTTGTTCCCCTAATACCAATCGGTAGTTTTGCAATGTGTTAGAAATAAAGTGTATTTCGTGCGGCGTTCGGTTAGTTAGACTGGTAGCTGAGCGGTATTCTCACGAACTGTGCCTAAGCCTCCAGCTATCTACCGAACGTCCATTCGTGTAAATCAGGGGAATATTATTAAAGTTATACATTTTAATGTAAAATGTAAGTTCTGCTGCACGGAGGGATAATCCACTTAACGGTATATTCTAGTGGGAGTATCCCTCTCGTGCAGCAGTGCATGGTGGGAGAAATGTATGTGTTTGTCAGTTCCCCATGTAGTCCCCTACTGTACCACCCCTGGAATGTCAGTAGGGAAACCCCTTGCATGGGGAATCCCATAAATACAGTGTCCTGTGAATAAAACCTCAGTTGACTCCCAGCCTATGTGTCGTCTAGTTCTTGGGAAGGAAGGATTCTTATAACGCTACCGGGATTATTGTATGCTGTATTTATTGCCTTGGATTATTTTATGCTGTTCCTGTTACCCAGCAGAGATACTGTGGATTGTACTACCTCTCCGCTACACTCTATAAAGGGTGTGTACAGGGTATATTGAGGGTTTATTAACTAAATTGTAGAGAGTGAAATTTTACTAACAGGGTTATTCACTAAAGTCTGAATGTCCTCGTACCGAATAGGGCCCAAAATCCTGGTACATACCGCGCCGCTTGGATTGCAAAATCCAGATATTGTCCGCGCTGTTTAATCTGGTCCGCCTGACGGCCTTATCCGGACCGACTGCTTCAAATCCAAACTGTTATACTGACAGCACTAGCAGCCAGCAGGCAAATAGTTAATTATTCGGCAACTGGTCAGCACTTGCTAGCCAAGCCGACGGGTAGGATCCCTATCATTAATAGGGGGTGGGACTAATTTCCTGCCCCGACCCATGAGTGACAAGTTGGGACCCCAGTGTTAATAATGGGGAGGATCTAGTGTCCCATCAATGGACGACAGGTGGGGGCCTAATGAAATCTAAAAAAGGGGGGTTGTTATGATATATATGTCCCTGTCCACCATTTTCCTGCAGTGTAAATCATTACAGTTTTAGAGAAACTGCAATAATTATCTTGCATGAGTAAGACTGCCTTTAATGGCTGTAGCGGAGCGGCAGTATTAAATCCCACAATCTCCGCTGATATAGAAGGTAATCCAAAGTAAAGCGCTGGAAAGCAAGGCAATATTCCAAATCTCCCAGTAATCGGACGAAACACAGTTCTGAGAGTCAACTGAGGCTTTATTCACAGGCTCCACAATTTATACAATTCCCCATGCAAGGGGTTTCCTGAGTCCTATCCCAGGGGTGGACTACGTGGGGAAATTACAGTACAGAGCATTTTTCCCATCAGGCACTGCTGCACGAGAGGGATCCTCCCACTGGAATGTACCGTTAAGTGGATTATCCCTCCGTGCAGCAGAACCGGCAATTTATATTAAAATATACAACTTTTCGAATATTAGGTCTATTTGCACGAATGGACGTTCGGTAGATAGCTGGGGTCTGAGCGCATCATTCGTGAGATTACCGCTCAGATCCCAGCTAAAACAACCGAACGCCGCACGAAAAACATATTCACCAAAACATGCATTTAAAAGACCGATTGATATATGGGGAATAAAATACCGAACGGTCGCCTAACTGATGCTTCTACAACCTCATGCTCTGCATGAGGACATCCAGCGTCCGTTAACTACCCATAGAAAAGCATGTAAACATTGATTTTTCTATTGGGAGGGCCAAATGCGCACGCACTTTAGCCACCGTGCCCCCCCATCGGTGGAGATGGAATGCTGAACCAGATGAGTACAGAAAGTTTTTTTTTTTTAACACTTTCAATGCCGGGGGGTGGCAGAGGAAACTAGTGTATTCCTTACACTATAGAAACCCTTCAATCTTTAACATGCCGGTCCGGGGCCGCGAGGGAAGGGGAACAGGGGGCTATATTGTGTTAGAAATACAAGTTAGGAATACAGATTTGTATTCCTAACACTATAGTATCCCTTTAACCCCTTAAGGACCAAACTTCTGGAATAAAAGGGAATCATGACATGTCGTCCATTGGTGGGACACTGAACCTCACTTTCCTCTGCAGCACCTTTTTTTATTTTTTTATTTATTTATTTATTTATTTTTTACCATATCAGATGTGCACACTTCAAAATAGCTGTACACTCACATCACTGAAGCACATACATTAATTAACTAACTGCACCCGAATATAAACACACTGGTACATACACTTTTAGTTGGATAAATGCAAGGAGTTTCGGAGATACAGCATTCTGTCTCTGTGGTTGAGGACAAGCTGTCTGAGCTTGTTTCTTGCATTTCTGCTTGAACTACTGATCTACGCCTCAGGGAGAATCTGATGTCTTAACCCTTCCTCTGAGCTATGAGCAGGGTGGATTTTATTTAAATCAAGTAATTTTTAACACTCTTTACATCATGATTTTTAAACATATACACACATTCTTGCTGGTTGCTATAATATTTCATATTTGCCACCACATGAAAACATAATATTTAGAATAATAACTTTTAAAATTCGTTTAGTAGTTATCTGAACTGATTTTCATATATACCTTTAGAAATAAATAGATGATGATAATCAGGGCTCAAATTTCAACTAGTCACTAGCTATTTGTGAGTGAAAATGTAGCCCTGGCGTGTAGATATTATTATTATTATTATTATTTTACTATTTATATAGCGCCAGCAAATTCCGTAGCGCTGTACAATAGGTGGACTAATAGACTCCACTCTGGCTGTCAGGATACATCATGGGAGAGTGAAGGGACCACTAAAGGTTTCTGCTATACATTAGTCCATCAGTTTCCTAAATGGCAATACCACTGCAGACTTGGACTAAGGATTAGTAGAGCTCTGTGCTCTATAATCGCAGCAAGGGGAGGGAAACTAGATGCATATAAAATTAGAGGGGGAAAGATTAGTTTCTAAATCTTTGAATGTAAAATGTATATGGTCAACTATAGGGATATTGTTGTTGAGGTATGTGAAGGGGGGCTATCAAGTTGAGAATTTCACCCTTTTGTTTTCTTTTTCTGTTTCAGGCCAAGTGTTAGACGGTAATCGGTCCCCATGGAGACTGTCATTTATAACAGACCTGTTTTGGGGAATTGCAGACTTTTTTGTCCTATTGTAAGTCTTCTATTTTTCACTGTAATACAGTATATCATTTTTATAAGGAGACACTGCACTGGACAAATAAAACAAATAAACAAATCACAGTTTAGAACATATAGCCCCCCTCACCACCAAAACCATACATGTATTTAATTAAGAACTTTGTTTATTGAGGTATCTAAACCAGCTTGCAAAGTTGTAGATCTTTTATCAGCAGCCTTTGCAAACCCTCCCCTTCTTCCCTAGCCCAGAATGTTTGTGGCTGTCCAATTACAGACTTCCCAATGCAGCTCAATATGAACTGTTTGCAGAGCAAGCATATCTGGCAATTGCCTGATTCAGGAGTATAGCCCAACTGAGCTAAACAACCAGGAAGTAATATGACCTGTTGTCTGATTGAAGGTTAATATATACAAGTACACGTTTAGTAAAATTAAAATAATATAAAAAAAGACACACTTTTCACACATAAAGCACTCCAGCAAGCTAAAAGTGTTTCTTCAAAGGGATAATGTAAGCACTATAACCATATCATCTCATTGAATTGGTTATGGTACCTGGGTCAGTCTCTCCATTCCATGTTAAAACATTTTGAGTATTACACTATAAAAGTGTCTCTGGCCACCCACAGCTTGCACGTACTTGTTATGAGGGTACTGTGATAGACTGAAAAGTGTCAGCTGACACTGCTCAGGCTAATGCTTCCAGTGCAGAGGGATGGGCTGCTGAGGAAACTTGTCCACCATTAAAACATTAATAGTGGTTTAACGCTGAATAGGGCAACTGCTCCAAGGGACTATATCTTCTTTAATAAGATTAAGCAGTTACTTTGCCCCTGTGTCCCTTTCAGAGGCATATCATGTAATGTCTTTTGTTGATTTTCCTTAATTAAAGTAAATTGACTTACATGTTTAGTGCTTTAGTGCAATTTGTCTGAGTCTTTCTGCACCCTCTTTTCTGCAACACTTTTTTTTTCTATGAAAAGGCATTGTTTACATTAAGCTATAATGTAAATATTGGTTTTCACTTAGACAATAATAGAGGCGCAGTACTTACATTCTGCGTGCTTATGCGCCAAGCAGCAATTATTCTGGAGATGCATTAGTTAGTTTCATCAGGAGATTGCCCTAGTGTGAAAATTGCTGCGCATGCGTAATATGCCCTCCCAATACTTCTCTATGGAGTAGCATTGAATTCACTGAGATCATCATTGGTGATGATCTCAGTGAATTCAATGCTTCTCTATAGAGAGATTTCTCAAAGCCTAATTGAGGTGACATTTCTGCATGGGGTGCAGAAGCTTGTGTGTACAATGGATGGTAGATATGCTTACATGAAGTTTACCCCTGTGGGTGCTGTTATCTTCTGTCTTCAGTTCCTGCTGATGTATTTAGCAGGGGTTGTCGGTGTTGTAATGTCACACATGGATAAGAGTACAACACTGATATCTGGGGAGGATCCCATAAGACCATAGGTCTATCATAAAGTTTTATTTTGACTGTGTTGGAATTACAATGTGAATATTGATTTTTTGTTTTTTTTTTGATGGGACAGAGACACTTTAAATATAGTGACAAGTAACCCTAATGTTAAAAACAAACTGTAAAATTATAGTACCATCTTAAGATGGAATAAACATGTATTCTCTCCTTTATTAATTTTGCTTTTCAGGTAATTATTGAGGCCAAAAGCTATTAAAAAAATAAAATAAAAAATCTTATTTATGCCTGAGCTATACCGTTAACACAATTGATAATATTATTTTTTTTGTTTCCTTTGTGTCCCATCATTTAAAGGCTCTGTATTTTTTTCAATCTGATTTATTCCCCACCCCTTTAAAAACAAAAAAACAAAAATACATGTTTGGGAGGGCCACAAAATAAATGGCAAATTATGCTTTGTATAGTCTGTGTGACTCTGTGTATTAAATTATATAGGGGGAATATTATATTGAGCATTAAACTCACATTTACATATTCATATTTACAGTTTTAAGAGCATACTTCAGCCCGACATATCGAGAAAAGGGTACTCCAACTCTATATCCAGCTCGCGATATGATGACGGAAGAGGGTATGGTTTCACTATTTACAAAAAATGTGACACTGTGATTTTACGGTCTGTGTTTGTGAATGTTTTCATTTATTTATTAAATAACTTATGTAAAGTATCAAAGTATCGTTTTAGAACGGTTTGACTGTAGGGCTTAACTCTGCATAGAGAGCTTCCAGCTCTCCAAAGGACGTAGTGAAGAGATCTTGCATAGAAGTAACTATTGTTGATTTTAATAGAATTTGAACCAAAATTGGAATTGCATGCTTAACCTTTCTCTCTCTCTCAATACGTGCACAATATAGTACACAACTAGTGAAGTCTCTCACACATGGCAAGCCAGCAAACATGGTCTCTTCTCATTCTGGGAAGTTTCCACCCTACCTGAGTAGAATGCTCTCCCCAGCTGTTCTCACCTCCTATAACCTCCGATCCAGTACTAGCACGATATTTAGCATACCGCAATATAAAAATAAAGTGGCTTGATCCTCATTTTCCTACAGAGCACCGCAATTATGGAATAAACTCAGGGACACAGTCAAATCTTCATTCAATCTAAAATCTCTTAAGAGATCTATGGCAATATACCTCAATACAGAATGCACCTGTCATGGTTGAATATATTTATTACCTGTTTTGTATTAAATTTATATATGTATCTGTGTGTGTGTGTGTGTGTGTGTGTATATATATATATATCTCTATAACAGAAAGATGGACTGATGCTGAAAGCTGCATCCATAATTTGATTTTTTTTTTTTTTTTTTAGCTTTTATAGTTTGACAACTCCAACATCAATTCAGAATTCCAATATTTGTTGCTTAGGGTCTTTAACAAACACATGACAAGAAGTTTTTATATTTTGTGATTACATTTTTGCTTACTTGCTTACATTTCATTGAGGAGCAAAATTAGTAAATCCTGAATATAGGTTAGTGAAAGCTCCTCCTTTGTGTTTTCAGAAGCTTTAAAAGACCATCATTTTCTCTTATCAGGTTGAAGAAAGTGTTTATGCTTTAGTTCTAATATTCCATTTTAAGTTAATGTTTTGTTTGACTATATATCTTTACCAATTCATTACAGGCCTCCTCCACCCCCTCGCCGTAGAATGGGTAGAATAAATCATGGAACAGGTCCAAATGCGCCTCCAATGGGAGGAGGTGGATGAGGAAGGTACGTTCTTTCTTACATCATGGCCTGCAATATGTCAGTCACTGGCACAACTATCTTATTGGTACCGCATTTCACTTTACTTAAAGGATTACACCAACCAAAAAAACTATCTTTTCATAAATCACTGGTTTTGGTTAGTTGGTTAGTCCTTTCCAAAAAGTAAAAAGGGGGGGCTAAAACTCACCTCTGTTCCATCCTTTCTACAGTCTGATCCTCCTTGTCTGTCGCACTCCCCCTTATTAGAGTGGAAAGGAGGGCAGAGAGGATGGACAGAGGGTAGAAAAGGGGGAGACAGTGGGGGGGCTGGGATACCATTGGCTCTCTAATGCCAGCGTGCACGCATCAGATGCCAATTTTGCACAGAACTGAAATTAACCAGCCTGGAACTTTGTTGTTGGCTGGCTAATGCCACTCCCACAGGTGTTCTTTTTAATCATTCAATAAATAACTGGTTGGGTTTGAAAGCATAAAGGAGTCACTTGTTAAAAAGAAAGTGTTCAGTTTACGGCGCAGAAGTTGGAACTTCTCTATCTATTGTATCAATAGCTATTGTTCAAAAGCCTTAAAATTAAAGGAACACTATAGTCACCTAAATTATTGTGACGAGACCAATCTCGCCACTCTGCATTGGAGGAGCCTGGTTGCCCGCCTGCTACCTTTAGACTATGGCCCCATGTTAAAACGCTTGATTTTCCCCTGCAAAGACACGAAAACTAGGTCAGTCGGTACTTGCCTTATTTGAACAGTGGTACCCCAGATAGCTATGCCATGGAGCCCATTCGTATAACGAAAGACTTTGGCTCCATGGCAATTGAACTGTATGTATGTGAGCTGAGCACCATTCAGTAATAATGTGCGCTCAGATCTAAGCTACCTGGGGATATGTTGAATGTATCTGTTTTATGCAATAGCTGCACAGTTATATATTTTTATGTATTTTATTGTCTTTTGCTACCATGTGTTCAATGGAGTTTTGCCTCTGTCCTTGGAGATAATTGGATTACTTCCCAATTATCTCGAGGATAGAAGACTCTGTGGAACTGGTTTTGGGCAGAAAAGCCATGCTTCATTTGGTCACAAAGGACTACGATCTATCTTTTGAACCACTGGACCGATTTGTATGATTTTGACGTATGTTTGTATTTGGAGTATGCCGATTCTGAAAATGTGAATGTGATGCATAGTTTTAACGTTATGAATAATGTGGAAAAACTGTATTTCTCTGCCTGTGATAATTTCATTAACCCATTGTGTTAGGTAATTGTATCACAGGCAGAGGGGAGGATTTTGTGTGGGAGTGTCTAAGTGTATTTCACGTGTTTATTGGTTGTTTTGCAAAACTCTGTGGGTGGTACTAATGTGTAAGAATGTGTATATAAGAACAGTAAACCCACAGCTCTGTCTGTTCCTGCTTGACCCTCAAAACGGAGCCCTGTCTCGTTCTTGGGGGGATTTACGGTATGCTGTTCCAGTTCGACTGCTAGGAGTGTCAACCTATTCGTATGGTTTTTCCTATTCAGCTGTTTACGGCATTCATATGGTTTCCTGTTCGGCGGATTGGTGTCTTTGGTAGCTGCTGTATATCTGCAAGGGGAATATCCTCTAAACGGCGGTTTAAGCCCTTTTATGCCTGGGGTAGTGATATCGCGAACTTCCCCCGACAGGCTCGCCGCGGTGTATAGATTGGAGAAAAAACTATTTTAAAAAAATGTGTTTTCTCCCACCCGTCAATCAGTGGGACTTGACCAGCATAAAAGACCACCCACAGACAGAGAGCAGAAAAGACCTCTCACAGGTGGTCCTTCTGAAATCCACACATAGCAACTACAGTGCATGCGCTGTCGATGATATGATAACTCTTTAACTGACGTTGGGCTTAGGAGTATAATAATTGACTGACACCACTTCATTCAGACGTCAGCATGCCAGTGTGTCAGCGTGCCAGAGAAAGTTTGCCCTTCTTGGAAATGTGTCCCCAAGCAGGGCAAATCATTGATGACCGCAGGATGAAATAGGGCAGACCCGAGGGGGATGTTACAAAAGTGTAAAATCCTATTCTGTGAGTGTATATATAGCAGTGCTGTAGCAGAGGATGAGATGAGTAATGGCAGACAAGGTTTGTGGCTCAAAAGAGCAGTCTTACTTAGTGTGCCAAAAGAAGTGGAAGCACTTTTGCATATTAACAGTTTTTTTTGTAGCTCTTATATTGTACTGAACAAAGTTTGATCTTTGAATTAGATTTTTGTCACATTGTAAGGTATGATGATATTTATTAATAATATACATGTATATTTTTTTTGTAGGTAAACGCCTGCTCTTGGTAGCAGGCATCCAGAGAGGGGCATTGAGCAGCGCTCTTTGAAGTGGAAAGTTCATCTCACTGTGAATGTCTCTCTCGACCTGTAAAAATGCTCTGCAGCAATGCGGATTAATGATGTTCTACTGGGAATTCCCTCTCCAGGATCCAGTCTTAACTGATCAGCATGTGTACAACTGTAAATGTGTCCTTTGTATGAAACCTGCAGTCTGCATGCCATAAACCTAAATAGCAAACAGATTGTGAAAAGTTATTTCAGACTGTTGTTTTTTTGTTTTTGTTTAGTATATCAGAGATCCTTTTGGATCAGTGCAGTGCCCCCCTAGTCTAAATATAGTGGGGTTTTTGAAGTCCAGCAGCAGGAAGCTGTTTGTCAGCTCCATCCTAGATGCTTTTCTTGCTGTTAATTTGTGACTCTTGTGAATAAGGACAAAGATGTCCTAGAAATAGTCTACATCAACATACTTTAAATAAACTCATGTGAGAAAGATGTATGAAGTAGACTGTCCTACAGAGAGGTAGCAGCTTATGGTGCATATCAGAATGCTTTAGTGGGGTGTAGCCAAAGTCAGTTTATTTTTGGTCTTTCTGCCATTTTGTCAACATTTTTTTCCCTGTTCAATAACAATAATGGAAGTTACAACAATTTTAAGATACATATTTATTCTGTTCTAACTGCTTTGATTAATATATATATAATAATTTTTAAACAGAAAAACAATTGCTTGCTCTTTCCCACTTTATTTGAAATTTTGAAGTAAAACGTTTTGCATCACACCCTGACTCGATTGCGTTAAATTTATTTTAAAATTATATTTTCTTGTTATTATTATGTGTGTTATTTCTATTGGTTTATGCAGTGTGAAAACACAAATTTTAAAGTATGAGATACAAAAAACCCATTAAATATGGTAACTGAGGTAAATTGTCAATTTTGAATCACGAATTTTAATGATGAGATTCACAGGCCTTGTTTGTTTTATTACTTCAACAACTCCTATTTGTGGAGTTTTGCTAAGTTTTTGGGAAACATATACAGTCCATTAATAGATATTCACTATTTGCTTACCTTCCAGAGACTGTTTAGTGAAGTGACACTGCTTTGGCCTCATTTCAGACCAGCGCTATTGAGAAGGCATTAGCAAACTCTCCTAACAATTACCTTTTGCCATTAATAACCCTAGCCGAATCATAACACGTAGGGATTCCCTAATGACATCAACAGGGAGGTTTTACAGTACAGAGCTCTTTGTGAACAATCATTGTGCTATCTGTTGATTATGCAGTGATTTGGACTGGGCAGCATGCATAGGAAGACCCACTTCTCAAACTCCACGTCTCCCAATGAGAAAATCCAGTTGCCATCACATTGATTTGTTTTACACCTAGGAAAGAAGGAATAGATAATGCTGAGCTAGGGAAGTCTACACACCCCCAGCCCAAGCATGTCAAACTTGGGCCAAATAAACAAGGTTTAAGTTTATATGGGCCCAAACCAAAAAAACAACTTTAGTTTTCATAGAAATGTAGGTTTATTTAGAAAAGTACATTAGAAAAAAGTTGCCTAAATGACACTGGACGTCCTCACGCTCGTAGGGCTTTAAAGTAAACAAAAGAGCAAATGTATTTTATGGAGACGTGCATTTGCATTTACCTAATGTTTTAGTCCAGCTACCTTGACATATTAAAGGGATTCTCTAGTGCCAGGAAAACAAACCCATTTTTCTGCCACTAGAGAATCCTGGAGTGCCCCCCTCACTCCCGCCCCCAATTCCATGTCTCTTGGAGCTGGGTCAAGCTCCGCCCATGCTTCTCCCCTGCCGGCAATGGCTGCACGCGCACATTAAACCTCCCAATATGAATTTAGGGTTTTCATGAGCTGTAAGCCATAATCATCGTACTTATGACAAATCACAGCTGGAACTATCTTGTTTTGCATGTAATGCGTCTATCTCATATATTAGTTTCCCCTTTTACGTTGCATTACTGAAATAAATTAACTTTTGCACGATATTCTAATTTTTCGAATATCACCTGTATAGTGCAAAATTCACCATCTAGCCTCTTGCCTGCCTAAATATAGTAAAATCTTACTTGTATTCAAGTCTGCAGCTGCTGGCTCTGCCTCTGACCTGCCTGCATTCCTGATATCAGAAATGATTATGTGAGCCAATCACAATGCTTTCCTATAGGATTGGCTGAGACTGTCAATGAGGCAGATCAGGGGCATAGCCAGCACAGGTCAAACAAAGCCCTGACCAATCCGCATCTCCTCATATAGATGCATTGAATCAATGCATCTCTATGAGGAAAGTTCATTGTCTGCATGCAGAGGGTGGAGACACTGAATAGCACGGATGCACAGTGTACAGCACTGCCCACAAGGCTAACAAAACATTTGACTTGGGCAGCACTTTTAGGGGGTTTGGCAAAAAAGCCACCCCTAAGCACCCTGGCAGATGCCCTGTTAGCCTCTTTCATGGGGGGCCCAAGAGCTGGCCGGCTGGCCACCTCAGGTACCCCCGAGGCTTTGAAATGCTCCCAGTGCGGCCAGGGTGTGGGCGTGAGGGAGTCCTCTGAGCTCTTCCTGGTTAGCTGCCTCGTGCCCCGCAATGATATGACATCACCCGGCATTACTGAGCGACGCGCAAGGGAGCTGAGCAGGAGGATTTCAGCTACCTCGCTGCCACGCCTGCACGCCCAGCCAGATCACCAGCCAGCCACCAGCTGAGCCAGCCCAGACAGCTCCACTGGATGCCAGGGAAGAATCCACTCCAGTTCTCCCAAAGGTAGGGATGCTGGGTGAATTAAAATTAATATTTTATAAATATATAATACTTTGTAAGTGTGTGAATGTGTCAAGATCAGGTTGTCTGTCAGTGAGTGGGGGTGAATGTGTGTATGTCAGTGTGTCTGAGTGAATGTGTGCATGTCTGTCACTGTGTGTCCGAGTGAGTGTGTGTTTCTGTCAGTGTATGTATGTATGTGAGTGAATGTATGTCACTGTATGGGAATCTGAAAGTGTGTGCCTGTCAGTGAATGGGTGTGCCAGAGTGTCTGTCAGTCAAACTGCATGTTTATCTTAAGGTAAGGGGGGGGGGGAGGTGCCCGAGTTTTGACATGCCTAGGGCAGCACATGTGTTTACAGCAAAAAGCCTGAAAGGAATGATTCTACTCACCAGAACAAATTCAATAAGCTGTAGTTGTTCTGGTTACTATAGTGTCCCTTTAACAACTTAAGGACACATGACATGTGTGACATGTCATGATTCCCTTTTATTCCAGAAGTTTGGTCCTTAAGGAGTTAAAGGGATCCTATAGCCCCAGGAAAACAAAGCCGTTTTTCTGGCACTATATTGTTAATAGGTCCTCCCTTCCCTTTTGCCCTCCCTCCATTGGCCACGTGCGCATTTATACCTTATTCAAAGCTTTCCTATGGGGAAAATCTGACGTTGGAGGTCCGCGAGGACATCCAGCATCAGATAGGACCAAAAGTCTGTTTAGATTCCGAAGCCCTCTAGTGGATGTCTGTTAGACAGCCACAGAGGGCAGACTTAGAGCTGCAATGTAAACATTGCAGCACTAAGTGCAAAAAGGTCACAGCAACCAGACTACTTCAATTAGCTGAAGTGGTCTGGGTGACTACATTGTCCCTTTAAATTAGGATTTGGAAATGACAAACGGTGGGCTAAATCTTCTTTGTGTTAGAGACAGGCTTGCTTTATTAGCATGTTTAGGCCAAGAACGACTAGTAAGCTGTCTGTGGATGATAGGAAATGTAGTCTAACATTGAGCAGAGGCATATTTCATGCAACCTTTACTGGATTATTTTTTTTCTATATGTTATTTTCTTACAGTTTTTTGGACATGCATCTTTGCCGACAAGCAAGACACATTGAATTAAATAGTATCTTTCCAAGACATATGGTGTTCCAGCAAAGTGCATTTAACTAGAGTCTGAAATGAAATGCTTACTGTAAAGAACAGCCATTCTGAATGTCTTCCTCAGACATGTTCCTTTCAAGAAAATATTTCATTGAGCTGTAATTAGATAAGGGAGTCGAATAGCCTGGGCTGAGTGCTTTCTTAACAATTTCAGAAAGCGAATACAGCAGTTTGCTTGTGGTCGCTTCTCCTTATATGCTCTGTGATCTTGCTTACAAGTCAGTTAGCAGGTAAAGAACCGCAAATGCAATTTCAGGGGTTTTAAAGACGGCTTTTCTATATGCTTGTGCCCGGCATAAGAGCCTGGACTTAATTCCACCTCCCATTCCACGAACAGACTGATCTTTCTTATTAAATACGCTACAGTTTTTATATTGGAAATGTAATCACAGATCTGGATGATTTAGGAAAGTATTGCAGTATTCTAGTAATATTAATATATATATATATTTTTTATTTTATGTATTTATTTTTGTGAGACTAATCGTATTTTACTTAACAAGCTTTCATAAAGTCCTTCCTTTGTCAAATCAAAACAAAGTCACTGTACTAATACGGTGACTTGGGTTAGTATCCGCTTGCAAAGCGATACTTTGTTTTTGTGGTATCACCACAAGTGAACTTGTGAATCTAACTTAATCTTGACAAATATAACTTAATCTTAAATGATAGATAATCAGATTTGGTCTATACATTGTGTTAGCAGAATTGCTAGCGAAGGTCCAGATTTCTCTAAAATCAGATGTTTTTAAAAACGTCCCTTTCCTCTACTGGTTGTCCGTTCGGTCTGTGGAGATCAGCACTGAGATAGGAAGGCTTTGCTCAGCATGCCGGTTATCGGGAAACCTGCTTTGGGCATCTCTCTCCTGTTTGAATTCAGCCTAAGGAAAAGCAATGCTGCAAGGGGAAGTAGGGAGGAGGGACAGGTTCTGTGTTAGAGCAGCAGGAAGAAAGATCCAGAATGATTTATTGCAGCAGCTTTGGTCAGGCAATTTGAGAATGGAGCGTGTGAACAGATGTTTTATTTACATTCCACAAAGCTAACAAAGTATTGGGGCTTTTAATCTGTTATGAGAAGCAAATCTATGCTCCCCAAAAAGGACTATGCAGGAAATATGTGGCTTACAGCAAGTGAAACATCCACATGATTGTAGCTCTCAGCAGAGACAGGGGTAATGGAAATAAAATATTAGTTTTTTTTCTATTATTTAGTGAAGAAACACTTAATTGTAAAACATGAGACAAGCCATATGGTTAGAAAACTGCAAATCTATTGGGGTTAATTACTAAAGTCCAAATGGCCCTGAACCGAATGGGACAAACTAATCCTGCTGCATATAATCTAAACTGTAAGATCCAGACATTGTTGGAATTCATCAATGTCCAATTTTATAATTCAGGTACCAAATCGGCCTGAATTTGGTTCTGATTTCAGCTGTAAGGAAAGCCACCTGACTGCTGAAATCTAGAGCGAATCAATTAAATCCAGGCCCTGATTTTTACAAAAATTCTAAAATATCTGCCTGCTTGCAATGCTAGCAGTCAGCGGTCAAACAATTAAAAACCCTCAGCAGTGCAAGGGTTAATTATACTGCGGCTGGCCAGTACTTGCTAGCCAACATTAAACAAATAAAGAATGAATAAAAATCCTACAGGGGTCATTAAGACCCTTGTATTACTAGAATTAAGGTTGTAAACATCCATATGCCCCCACGTGCCATGTGGTAGATTGCGTTATGTCTACTAAATGTCTAAACCTAACGACTGGGCACCCATTTGGGCCCAATAACAAGAAAAGGCAAAAGTGAAATAAGTGGTGGGGCACAAAGGCATCAGGTGGGAGCTACTTTAAATATTAAGAGGGGGACCTATTGTCCACTTCCCTGGCACCAACCCATTGATCAGAGTCTTAAAGGGACACTATAGTCACCTGAACAACTTTAGCTTAATGAAGCAGTTTTGGTGTATAGAACATGCCCCTGCAGCCGCACTGCTCAATCCTCTGCCATTTAGGAGTTAAATCCCTTTGTTTATGAAACCTAGTCACACCTCCCTGCATGTGACTTGCACAGCCTTCCATAAACACTTCCTGTAAAGAGAGCCCTATTTAGGCTTTCTTTATTGCAAGTTCTGTTTAATTACGATTTTCTTATCCCCTGCTATGTTAATAGCTTGCTAGACCCTGCAAGAGCCTCCTGTATGTGATTAAAGTTCAATTTAGAGATTGAGATACAATTATTTAAAGTAAATTACATCTGTTTGAAAGTGAAACCAGTTTTTTTTTCATGCAGGCTCTGTCAATCATAGCCAGGGGAGGTGTGGCTAGGGCTGCATAAACAGAAACAAAGTGATTTAACTCCTAAATGACGGTGACTTGAGCAGTGAAATTGCAGGGGAATGATCTATACACTAAAACTGCTTTATTTAGCTAAAGTAATTTAGGTGAATTAATTAATTATAAAATAGGGATGGTGGACATGCCATTGTCCATCACTTAAATAATCGTAAGTCCCCCTGGGTGGCTAGGGCTCCCCTTTATTATCATTATTAATATTAAGGTCCCCACATGGTGAACACATGGGTGGGGGCCAGGTGAAGGGACAATAGGTTCCCCCCATAATATTTAAAGTAGACCCAACCTGATACCCACAGACTATGTGCCCGCGGTTATTTCACAGTCTCTTCAAGTTTATGACATTTAGTAGATGCGGCAGGTGGGAGATGCCATGCAGATATTTTCCCTGGGTAATGAGGAAGCAGGACACAGTTGAGTTGAGAATTTTACTTTGAGAATTTTGGTGAAAAACTCAACTTGTTTTCCTTAAAGGGACACTATAGTCAACATATAAAAGCAAGAAAGACAGGTCCCCGAGCCTTCTTTCTTGCTTTTATATGAGCTTGCCATAAAAAAATAAATTTAAAAAAATCAGAGTAAGTTTTAATAATAAAACTTACCTCCGTTCTAGCGCCGAGCTCCCTGTTAGGCCACGCCCCCTTTTCGGCAAAATGACAAAATCGCAGGGCCCAATAGGACGCTTCTCCTTGCGAAAACGTCATCGCGATGTGGTGCGCATGCGCGGTTTTTCGCTCCACCAAACGCATTCTTCAAAGAGCGGCATTGAATGCCGCCCTATGAAGAAACTCAGCGCTCAACCGCGCATGACAGCTCAGCTCGCTTTCTATACCCGCCCCCCTCCTCAGCCAAACTGTGTGTTTGCATGTTTGCATAGAAACACTATATATAGAGATCTCTCTATATATAGTGTTTCTATGCAAACACACAAGTAGTAAAAAATTAAAGACATACACACACACACTCTTTCTCCATCCATATCCATCCTCCCATCCCCATCATCCATATCCATCTATCCATCCCCATCCATCCCCATTATCCATATCCATCCCCACCGGAGTGTCCCTTTAACACAGAGAGGCATTGACTAACACCTGGAAGAAAATACTTTTTTTTTTTTTTGATAGATTTTTCTCCTAATCTTGCTAATTTCTTGCTAGTAAACCTGTTAGAACAATGTACAGATATAATTTTATCCTCAATCGAATAAGCATAAGTTATTTGGGGCATGGCAGGTCCCCTTTAGATGCCTGTATGCAGCATTCACTTTGCACTGCAAACCGAGCATGGTTTGCTTCCGATCCCTGCTGGTAAAATACAGCAGGGCATTATTATTCCATAAGGGATGGACAACCATGACTGAATAATTCTGTCATTCATCATTATGGGGTTAAACACCCCATGTACCCCATTGCTAAATTTAACTTAACTAAACCCTAAACTTAACAATCCTAAAAACCCCATGTATGCAAATACTCAATTTAACCCCATTTTAACTGTAAACCCTAAATCCTAAACACCTTGTATAATACAACTACTACTAACCACTCTCAAGGATTTAAACACCCCATGTAAGCTAACTCTGACATCACCCCTCTCTAACCTTGCCCCCACCCCTTCACCCTAACCACTTGTAGCATCTTTAAATCTGCATGCATTTACCCAGATGCACATACTCACTACACATTCGATATGGATCCACATAATAGCTTAATGTTCAAAATTAAACAAATCGGTCTAGATGAATATTCTTGTTCTTGGGTAGCACATTGGCTTAAAGTTAGAGTAAAGAGAGTTATCATTAATGGTAAATTTACCAGCTTGACAGAAGTGGTAAGTGGTATCGCTCAGAGTTCAGTTCTGGGACCGCTTCTATTCAACATATTTATAAATGATCTTGAAAAAGGTATTGAAAGTCATGTTTCGGTGTCTGCAGGTGACACAAAACTCTGTAAAGTGATACAACGTGCAGAAAATAAAAAAGAACCCAAGGCACACCAGTTTGCACATAAAAATAGTTTTTATTCTCTGAGAGATCCCCCAGAGAAAGGCTTTAGACACGAAACGTCGGGCTACCATTTCTCCTGCTCTCAGTTAGTATGCCATTTTTGTATGGGTGTATGTAGTTACTCTTAGCACTTTATTATTGCTTAGTAGTGGTTTGGGGACTATTGTTCTAACATATATTGCACTGTTTTATGCACGTTCTCGTCTGTCAAGTCTGTTTTATCCAGTATTGTATTGCATTAATAAAAACATTTTTTATGTGCAAACTCCGGGATGCCTTGGGTTCTTTTCTATTTTCTGTATATATAAGTAGAGATTGTAGCCGTATTAGTCCAGTGATGTAGATCTGTTTTTTACATTCTCTGTGTATATATATATATATCCGGTGGGGGAACAGATTTTTCCCTTATCCCCTTAAGGACCAAACTTCTGGAGTAAAAGGGAATCATAACATGTCACACGTGTCATGTGTCCTTAGGGGGTTAAGAGTACCCAGTAACCTTTATGCCACATTACTTATCACCTATTCCAGTTGAGCTCTTCCTGTTACCATATATGCAAGTAATGCAATGTGAGCAGGATATTGCTTTGCTGCAGATGGATTTAAATGAACTGGGGGAGTGGGCACTCAAATGGCAGATTAAATTTAAAGTGGAAAAATATTCACTTTGGGTCAAGAATGCACAAGGAACTTAAATGGTAGTGAATTAGGGATAACAACACACAAGAAGGATTTAGGAAGGACAACAAACTAGGTAACAATGCGCAATGTCAGTCGGCAGTTGCTAAGGTCAATAAGGTTTTGTCATGTATAAATAGGGGCATTAATTCTCAGGATGAAAATATGATTTTGCCTCTTTATAAATCACTGGTAAGACCACACCTTGAATATGCTGTGCAATTTTGGGCACCTGTTCTAAAGAAGGATATCATGGCACTTGGAAAAGTGCAGAGACGAGCTAAAAAATTGATAAAAGGAATTGAGCATTTTAGTTATGAAGAAAGGTTAATAAATTTAAATCTCTTTAGTTTGGAAAAATGGCACCTTAGAAGGGATATAATAACATTATACAAATATATTTGTGGCCAGTACAAAACATTGTCTGGAAATCTATTAATAAACAGGGCTGTAAATAGGACACGGGGTCACGCTTTTAAAATGGAAATAAGGAGATTTACTCTAAGGCAAAAGAAAGGTTTTTTTACAGTAAGAACAATAAGGATATGGAATTCTCTGCCTGAAAAGGTGGTTTTATCAGAGTTTAAACATGTTTAACAGATGTTTAAACAGCAATTGGATAATTCCTTGCAAAAAACATAATATACAGGGATATAATTTTTAATTAGTGTGGGTAATAGCTTCTTGATCCAAGGAGATGTCTGACTGCCATTCTTGAGTCAAGAAGGAATTTTTCCCTCTAGATTGTTGCAAAATTGAAAGCGCTTCAAACTGGGTTTTTTGCCTTCTTTTGGATCAACAGCAAAAACAAATGTGAGACTCATGTCTCTTTCCAGCTATGTAACTATATGTAAGAATAATAGAAGAAGCAGTAGCAGTGCCTCTTTGTGCAGGTACATCAATACTTGAAATGAGAAGGAGAATTAGAGAGAATTCATATTTTCAATAACAAACTTGTTCAATTCAGTAATTTTTCCAACTTGGTTATCTTACCCTAAATCTTTTTCTCGTTAGAAACTGTAATGCCAGGTTTCGTCAAAAACAAATCTCCTTAAATTGTTATAAGCCTAATATCTCCCCTGTACCTCAACACATATTGTACAGAAAAGTTCACCCATTTTAAATTGTGAAACTTTGCTTTACTGTTGACAGATAAGACGTTTGATTACACTTCTGGGGTTATTCAAAGTGAATTTCAATAAAGACTGAATTTGAATACACAAAGCTACTTTAGAAAAGGAGGTGACCATTTACAATGTCAATGTAGTAATGCAAAGGGACAGAAGGTATTCATTTTGGAGCAGCACTTCAAAAAAACATGCTCATCTTAAAGGAATAATTTATGCAAATGTGAAACATCTGATCCTGTGTTTAAATGTAAATGTCTCTTTAAAACAAATAGTTTTGTACTTTACTGTAGCTGCTACATTGTTGTCAGTGGACAGTGGATATATTGGTTACAGTGTTTCCTCCAACAATTAACTGATTAACTGATGGAAGATCTCAAAACTCCATGAACATACTGGTTAAATCTTCTGAAAATAAAAAAAACTTCATGCAGGAACAACTTTGCTGCGTTTAGTAGATGAACTACTTGTTGTAGTGACACTAGTTTCAGCCGAAGACACTGACTTGTCAACAGCCCATGGATTTCTGCCACAGAAGAGGAAAGGAATGACACATTCCTGGAACTGCAAAGACAGAATAAAGAACATTAAGAGTTCACACAGATTTGTTACATATGTAGATTTTATATAGAGTTTTCAGCATTAAAGACTCATTCAGTGAAAAAATAGACACAAAGCTGGGATCAATAGAAATTGGGGTACCATGTGACAACAATATTGGATCAGGAACTAGCCAAGGTACCACAGCCTAGCTTTCCGCAATCCACATACACTCAGACATCCTGTATTATAAGTGGTCATCTGCTAAATGTCTTAAAGCTACAAAGAGATGTCTCAATGACTATGACTAATAAGATCCTGTAGAAATTTCACTACCTCAACTAGTGAATTGAACAAAGAAACATACCTGTTTGTTCATGAAAATATAGATGATAGGGTTGTAGACGGTGCTGGTTTTTGTGAGGTACATAGGAATTGTTGCGATAATGGGATCAATATAAACACCAGGATTTATCACAACTGTCATAGCAAAGGCTGCGTAAGGAAGCCAGCATACCAGGAAAGCCATTATCATCACCAAAACCATTTTTGATACTTGGGCTTCGGCTTTACTTGTGGTTCCACCTTCTGCAACTCCTAGTTTGGCCACCTAGAATGGAAGGACAGCACTTACCGACCTGTAAAATATACTTCTATGATCTACAAATTCTGTGAGTCATCAACTCATCTACTAGCAATGGTTCACCACAAGTGATAGGACAGTAGATCTTTAAAAAAAAAAAAATTTAGATGAAATAACGGCTAAGAACAAATGAGGGCGCAATGTACTTTTTTACCTGTCGTAATGTCCACATTAGGTATCCATATGAAACTACGATTGTAATGAATGGAACTGCAAAGCAGAAACAGAAGAAACAAATAATGTAGGACATATTTACTGGGTCAGGATTATACCAGTCAGGAGCACACGATGTTTCAACCCCTTCTAGTTGATAGCTCCCCCAGCCAAATAGTGGAGGTGTGTTCCAGATAAGTGACCATGTCCAAGAGAGGGCAATTCCAGATAGAGCTTGCTTGGCTGTGAATGTCAGAGTTCCCATCGGCTTACATACAACAACAACTCGATCCACAGCAATGACTGCAATAGTACACAGAGCTGCAATTCCTAGAGCAAAGAAGCCAAAATCTGAATTAGTTATGGAAAGTTAAAAGCCACTTGGTTCAGTTTAACTTCCAAACCCTGCCTCCAGTAGTGAATCTCCAGTTGCAATCAAAATCATTCAACCTCCAATCTGAAAATCAGGTTTATTGTCAAAATTTACAGACTTTCAACTCTTTGCAAAGAACAAACCAAACATAAGTAATTGAAATAGCTCAGCACAACGAATGCTTCAAGTGGTTTCCCCAAATTCAACTGAAAATGCAACTTAGATGGACTTCTCCAGTCTCAAAATTATTCAGCCTCTTCATAGCAAGCATCTTCAGTACTTAGCAGAGCACCCTTTTGCTGTAATGGCTTTCTGCAAACGAGATGCATAGCCAGCTTCTGGCAGTGTTCCTGAGGAATCTTAGCCTATTGCTCATGAGCAATGACCTCCAGTTCAGTAATATTCTTAGGATTGCATGCTGCAACCACCTTCTTCAAATCCCACCAGAGATTTTCTATGGGGTTCAAGTCAGGTGACTGTGATGGCTACTGTATCATTTTCCAGGACTACTTCTGCAACCAAGTCTTGGTGGAATTTTACTTATGCTTGGGATCATTGCCTTGTTAGAAGGTCCAATGACGTCCAAGCTCCAGCTTCCTCACAGACGGCATGACATTTTCTCTTAGAATTTCCTGGTACTTCAATGAATCCATCTTGCATTCCACACGCTGCAGGTTTCCAGTGCCAGAGGATGCATAGTAGCCCCTGAGCATCACTGAGCCACCACAATGCTTAACTATAGGCAGAGTGTTCTTTTTAGCATATCCTTCATTATTATTCCATACCACTGGTCCATTGGGCTGAAAAGTTCCAGTTATGTTTCATCACTCCACAGAACAGAATTCCATTACTTATGTGGCTTATTTATATAATTTTGAGCATATTGAAGCTGACTTTTTTGTGTGTTTTTGGGTCAGTAGTAGTGTAGGTCATGGAGTTCTGGCATAGAAACATTCTGCATTTAGTATTGCTGCAGGTATTTTGAAGTTACTCAAAGTTTTTCACAACCTGCCTTCTCAGAAATCTGGTTGCAGCCATTGATAACTTCCTTTTTCTGCCATGTTCAAGTAGTGTAACCACTGTTCCTTCAACTTCCAACTTCCAGCTTCCAACGATGTCTTTAGGAACATTCATTGCCTTTGCTATCTATTTCTATCCTTTTTCTTGTTTATGAAGGGTGATGATCTCTTCTCTTAACTTTGTGGACCATTCTTTTGACATTTCTAACATGCAGTCAAACTTGACACTCAACAAACCTTAAGCCAGTTCAGGTATTTTAAGTGTTTCCAGATCAAGCACACCTGGTGCAAGTAATGAAGCCCTTGATTAGTTGCATCAAGCGTGCTTGAGACAACACTTGTTTTGCATATTTGTGCTGTTTTGAGGGCTTCTATTCATGGGGTTGAATAATTTTGAGACAGGAGAAGCCATTGTAAGTTTCATTTTCAGTTGAATTTGGGGAAACCACTTGAAGCATACGTTGTGTTGAGCTACAGCATTCGTTTGATTTGTTCATTGCAAACAGCTGCAAATCTGTACAATTTTGACAATAAACCTGATTTTCAATGGGGATTTAATAATTTTGATTACATCTTTATGTATTAAAGGGCTGGCAATGAAAGACATATAAAGTCACTGTCCCTTTTATTACATCACTCTGTTGTTTGGAATTTGTTTTGCAAATTTTTGTGAAGGAAGGATCTGCAAGTGATATTTTACCTGTGCATAATTATGTGTATCACATTTTTTTTATAAGTCCAAATAAGAAAAATTAGACAAAATAAGCATTACAACTTTTTTCACTTACAGCTCGCTTGTGAAGAACCCCAAATTTTAAGTCTGACATCAATATCATGCCAATTTCATGATCTGAGTGATAAAATGTTAATAACTATCCTACTGCACTTTGTAATATATTCTTGGCTTTACATCCCATTTCACTAAGAGGTATATGGATTCTACATCCAGACATTGTATCTGTACGCTCATATCGATATCAGTCTATTCTACAGTGACATATTTATATTTAATATGTTGTCACTAGGAGCACCTTATAAATCAAAGAAGTGAACTCACTAACCTACAGCCTAGCCAGCTGCACCTTTAATATTAGCACACAGGAATGGTGCAGTGATGGGACTATGTGAGGGATGTACATATTGAGGAGCAGGGGGCTGTATCACCTGCTTTAAATGGAATATATAGTGCCAGGAAAGAAACTCAAACTCTGTTAAGCCCCTCCACCCCATGGTGCAGAAAGCGTTAATAATTAATTCTGTCACTTAGCTAGGTCCAGCACCAATGTCCCTCGGCACTGGCTCGGGTCCACCTCCGCTCCGTGAGGACCTCCAGCGTCAGGTAGGCAACCAAAAGTCACCTAATGATCCGGAAGTCCCTCTAGTGGCTGTCTGGTAGACAGCCAATAGAGGAAGATTTAACCCATAAAGGTAATTATTGCAGTTTATAAAAAACTGCAATAATCACCTTTGCAGGGTTAAGGGTGCTGGGACACTGCATCCAGACCATCTCAATGAGCTGAAGTGGTCTGGGTGCCTATAGTGTCCCCCTTTAAGGTCCCCCGTTGTATTATGGAAAAGGAAGCAACCGCTTGTCAGGTAATACTGGGATCCTACACGCAGAGTGTAATAGTAAAGTAACATGTACCGAACCTTAGAATGGCCCTGTTGGCGTCACAAGGACAGAGAAAAAACAGATACAAGCCGAGGTCAGGGGAGCCAGAAATCAAGAACAACGAGGGTACACAAGCCGAGTCAAAGGGTAATAGAATGAAGGGTAGTCAAACAAGCCAAAGTCAAAACCAAGAATTCAATACTAGAATACAACGCGTTATTGGGACTATAAGAACCACAACAGGGCAATGAGTCATGTCCTGAAGTTCCCTTTTATACTGTGTCCCTTTAATTGGTAGCCACACCCCCAAAACAATCGAATTTGAACGTCTTGATTGGCCGTGACGTCATCAGTGTCATGACATCGAGGCACACGCGCTGCGTCATAAAAAGGGGCGGGGCTATCACAGCCGGCGCGAGAATCGCTGGAATATAATATATTATGTATATGTTTTGCAGTTCACTGATCAGAGCATTTTCAAGACATTTGGTTCACAGATTAACAGAGAAAAAGTAACCAAGAGAGGGAAAAACAGCAGGAGCAATAAACAAAATCTACATTTATAAATTCTGTATTTTTTAAAGATACAAATATAGATTTCCTTCAGTTTTTCCTTTTATTGCTAATGTCTCACTTAAAGGAACACTAAAGTGTTAGGAATACAAACGTGAATCCCTAATGTTTTAGTGTGCCTGTGCTTAACCATACAGCCCCCCCAGTTTGCCATAGAAATAATAATTTTTCCACTGTTGAGGCTCCCTTTGTGCTGCTTTGCTCTCTTCCTCCTTTGGCATCATGGAGGAAACATGGCCTCCTCTGGAATCAGGTCAATCAAATTCTCCTCATAGGGGAGCTTTGGGCAGGGCTGGTGCTTGGATTTTTAGGTACATAGGCGAAGATGCATTTTTCCGCCCCCCCCCCAAAAAAAACATCTTCACCTATGTACCTCTTAACCAGCCCCTCTCCCCTCCCCGACCATTAGTGGTCCCTTCCCTGTCCCTCAGTGTTCTTCCCCCCCCTCTTTTCCCTGTCTCTTGGTGTTTCTCTCCCATTCCCTCCCTGTCCCTTGGTGCACCCCACACCCCTTTAGTGGTCACACTCCGCTTCCTGGTGTGCCTACTACCTCTATTGTTGCATTGCCGAGCGGAGCAGATCCCCTAAAGGAGCTTCAGTTTTCTGTACCCGGCCGGACTGACAGGGAGTACTCTCTCTTTGAGCACCTCCTGTCAGTCTGGCCAGGTACAGGAAACAGAAGCTCCTGTACCTCGCTCTGCTCCGCTACACTCTGTACACACTGACAGTCACACACTCAGTGACAAACACACAGACGTCACTGACAGACACAGACTCATTGATTTGTCACACACTCATTCATTGACACTGACCGACCCACAATGATTGACACTCATTGACAGACACACTGATAGTCACACACAGACTCAATGACAAACATACTCTCACTGATTTGACAAACACACACTCATACACTGACAAACACACTTATACACTCACATGCAGACACACTCATACAATCACTCACAGACACACACACACAGACGCACTCACACACTCAGTCACTCACACACACACTCAGTCACTCACACACACACACACGCTGTCACTCACAGACACACACAGACGCACAGCCACTCACAGACACACACTCTGTCACTCACACACACAGTCACTCACAGACACACACGCTCAGTCACTCACAGACACTTTGGGGACCTTTTGCACATGCGTTGTGGGCTGCAGTTTGGCTTTGTTCACTGAAGCAGAAAGTCCCACTTGTGTGTGTCAGTTTAACAGCCACCAGTAGTGTTAACCTGATTGATCACAGCACCCTGGCCACTTCATTGAGATGAAGTGGTCTGGGTGACTTTAGTGGTCCTTTCTTTTGTAAATAAAATTTGCATTTGATGCCTGTCCACTAGACATCAATTTTTTTTATTTCCATCGATGGTGCCATGGGCAGAATTTAAGATAGTAACCTTCCCCTTCAAACATGTTTGGCATTTCGAGTTTCTGTTTAGCTCTAATTTGTTTTTGTTTGTGGCTCTGATTTCAGAAACTATGCAGAGCCCGATCAACCCAAATTCTGACGAATTGCAGTTTTTCTGAAATGAATCTCAAAGTTTAAAACTAGGTGTTTGTGTTGCAAAATGATTTGGTGCTTGGTGGATTTACTACTTATTGTATTTGACTTTAAGAAACTTTACATTGCACACACAACACTTGCACACTGGGCTGAACACCCACAAAATAATTTAAAAAGGATTTTCTTTCTGCAAACGCTTAACGAAAAACAAACTAACAAAAAAACAACAACAACAACTTTCAAACTGTTACCACTAGTTTCAAACTAGGATGAATGAAGCATGCTATTCCTGCCACTCAAAGTTTGTGTGAGTACCAATGTGGCTGTAGCTAGCCAAGTAGATATTTTTTTTCTTTTGTAAAATATTTACTCCACTGTAACGGTTCCTTAAATGGTTCACTTCAGTTTCCAATCTTTAAGAGTCTAATTAAAGTTCATGGATCCACCTATTTAAACCTTCAACAAATGTCTCAGTGCACAATTAATGTGTCTCTACCCTTGTGCAGTTGACACCTATTTACTTTGCTACAGGTATCTTTCTACCAAGTCCCAGTGACTTGTCCAATTGTCCAATTCCCCTCAAAGTTAAATCCCTGTTAAAATTACTTGCTTATTACTTGTTACCGACCCGGATTGGACTTTGACACTTCTTGCGGATTCTCCTTATATTCTTATTAATTGTTGCTGAACCGGATTGGATTTGACCCTTCTCCTGGATATTCCTATGGACTGATTTACTGTTGCCTAACCGGATTGGACTTTAACAAACCTTCTGGATTTTCCCTATTATATTCAAAGTAACCAGATTATCACCTAAACATCGCACTCAATCCTGGTGATTATCCTTTATTCTCCCAGACCGACCTCTCATACTGGTGAGTAGTCTGTATTTTTAATTTGTTTGACAAGTATATTGTTTAAAATATTACACTACAACACACTCCACAAAAATAGGATTTGCTTTCTGCAAATACTAAACAAGCAAAAAAAAAATGTAAATTGGTGATACAAAGTTGGTGTTAATTGGCAATGTCTGGCAGTAGGACACTGCACGAACCATAACCACAAGTCTCACACTATGATAAGTGAAGCAGACTATCTACTACTCAAAGTATATGTAAGTGCCTACATAGCAAAACTAGACAAGATGAACTTTTTTCTTTCTGTCTACTGAACACAGTTGCCCTCGAAAGATTTATTTTCTACAAACAGTTAACAAAAAAGCCCTTTTAAAATTGGTATATTGGTAACCTAGTCCCACATTAAGATCAATGACACAATTATAATGTCCTATCTCCCACTCAAAGTTGTTTTAAGTGCCACTGACTGCTAGCAAAGTTAACTGACAGCAGTGCAATAATCCCAGTCTTAAACTGGGATCAATTAAACAATCGCAATCGCCAACCTGTCACTCAAAGTTGTCTCAAGTGCCACTGGTAGTAGCTAGATAGATACAGCAGTAAGCTAAACCTAGTCTCACACTAGAATCAATGACCCAGGCTTTCTCTCATTCCCACACAGGCACAAGAAGGTTAAAAACAGAGTATCACTGATTATTTGTCTTCCTCAATAGCTGCAGTCAAATTGTCTGAAATAATTCTACTTGGAAGTATAGATTGTTTTACTATTTGTCCTTTTTTTCAGCTAATGGCTAAATGTCACTTGAGATGTAAATAACATCAACTTTTAGTGGCTGTATCCTAGCCATCAATCGTTTTTTTTTCTGCATCAAGATGAACAGTGGTACAGTCAACTTCTTGTCTATAATGAGAAACGAAAAACTAAATTTAATATTTTTTTTTTTTTGGATAAGCTTTTCAAATTATTATAATCTTTTTATTTTTTGCTAGAAAATGCACTCTGAATTTCAAATGAAAATTAGCACGTTCGAGCTTGTGCTAATTGTTTGTTCTGAGATTCGTGCACATGTTGTTTTTGAAAATACGAAATTTATATGATCACTCAGTCGGCCAAAATTCTGATAAATTGCAGTTCATCCTGAAACAAATCTCCAAGTCTATAGGAAACTGTTCTGATGGGTTGAAGTTATTTATGCAGTCTATTTACCCCGTGTTACTCTGTGAAATGGGATGTAATGTTCCACTTGTAATTAC